TTATTTCCCTTAACCAGGAAATTAACGTTCTTAGAATTGACAAGACAGTTGACCCTGAGAGGTCAGCTAAATATCTACAGCGGATCTAAAATATGAATAGTTAATTATAACTAGTTATGGTTAATTATTCATATTTCCTGTTGTGAGCTAACCCGCTACAATACTCTGTATTTATAAAATACCTTTTCACTTTTCACTTAACACTTTTGCCACATGTCCTCTTCAGCACTTGATTACATTAGCCTAAATACTTTCGAAAAGTTCACGTTTTGCAGTATGACATGCTATATTCAATTCAAAAGTATTTTGAAAGTTACAGAGCCCTGACACTCGCGTCATGTCATTGTTTTCATGTGAGCGTGCGGCTTCGAGTGTGCTCGAGCCGTGCGCTCTCGTCTGCGTGTACTGTTTCATGTTGGAGCGTGGTGTTCAGATCCCGGCACTCATGTCTTGAGTTTCGTGTCGGGGTCCGGACACTCGCGCTCCATGTTCTGTCTGTTGTGGGAGCGTGCGGTCTCGAGTTCGCTCGGCCGTGCGCTCTTCTGTTCACGTGTGTTGTGTTTTGTGTAGCACGCGGTTTGTTCAGCCGCATGCTTTTCTTGTTGTCTTGTGTGAACATGCGGCTTATGAGTTTTCTCATTAGCTGCGTGTTCGTGTCTTTTGTTCTAGCACATGGCTTGTGATTTGTTTTGCTGGCCATGTGCTTGTGTTTTGTTTTGTGTGAGCACATGGCTTTTTGTCTTTGATTCGGTGTGCCATGTGCAATTGTCTTGCCCCCTCCCATCTTGTTACCTGATTATTAGTTAATTTGCCCCACATGTGGTCCCTCGTTACCCTCCTCATTTGCTCTCCATTTATTCTCCTTGTGTTTGCAGTCCTGCGTCCGTTCGTTGTCGTTATTTCCCCCTGGATGTCATCATCAATCCCTGGATGTGTCCAGATCCTGCCTTGCCTTGCCTTGCCTTGCCTTGCCAGTCTGTTTTTCCCCCACGGGGTAGTTTTTGTTGCGGTTTTGTTTATTTTTATTGTCAATAAAAGCCCTTTTCTCTACAGTACTGAGTCCTCGCTCCATCCTCTACCCAGACCCTGACACTAAGTGGATATTTGTAATTAAAAAATCTAGGCCCTGTCCACACGAACGCGGAGTTTTTGGTTTGTGACGTCGGAGACTGCACTGTTATGTCCGCCTACTGGAAACTTTTTCAGGCTTCTGATTGGCCAACATGGCTTTACAGTTGAGATTATATTGGCACCTGTTGGTTTGGCATGCTCTTGACAGTGCTTCATAGCATGCTAAGGCTATTCCAGTTCAATGAATCAGACAATTTTGTGTGCCCATTTGTTTTCGCAATGTCTCACCCTAGAGATTCTCTGTGGTACAATGACTAACATAGCAAAATCTCAATGCACATTATTGATCTTCTTGTGAATAACACTCATAAAATCTCATGAATGTGTGTTGTAATGGCATGATTTTCTGTTTCTATTTGGCGCACTATTTACGCAAAATGGACTTGGAAATGGAGTGCATATCATACGCAGCTGGTAGGTTTAGGGGTGTGGGGTAGATGCATATTATATGTACGTCAAAATGCGTATTATATGCACTCCAACAAAGTGTGTATCATATGCACGCAGAAACTGTGTACTATATGCATGTCAAACACATAGCACATAAAAAAAAAAAAATAAAAAAAAAAAAATTGCGCTGTTGATTTTCCTGAGACTGGACTCAAGCAACTGACTTTTCCCTTCCACAGATTTCTTTCCTCTTTTCTCCAGAGCTAAAAAATAATAAATATTTATGAGTGGCTAAGCTAGCAGAGAGCAATCGAGGCTATAGCTCACCCAAAAATGTTATATCTGTCATAATTTACTCACTAGATCATCTGAATGCATGTTTCAACTGTTTTTGTCCGTAAAATGAAAGTCAGTGGGGTCCAAAACCTCAACTGGACCTTACTGATTTTTAGTGCATGAATGAAAAATATACTTAGACATTTTTTTTATACATTTTTTGTTCCACAGAAGAATGCATACAGGTTCGGAATGACATGAAGGTGAGTAAATGGTTAAAGAAATTTGGGGTTTATTTTTTTTTTATTTGGGTGAATCTCCCACATGAAAAGTGGCTTCATGCATTACTATCCCAGATGTAATTTACTAGGCTATAAAAATAATCATAAGGGCCTGACTTGCGCATGCTGTGCTTTTTAAGCCAATAATGATATTATGGTAAAGAACAGAGAGAGATGCTGTGTCCTCTTTCAAAGGGTGTGGCTGGAAGGCTATTCCAGTTCAATGAATCAGACAATTTTGTGTGCCCATTTGTTTTCGCAATGTCTCACCCTAGAGATTCTCTGTGGAACAATGACTAACATAGCAAAATCTCAATGCACATTATTGATCTTCTTGTGAATAAATCTCATGAATGTGTGTTGTAATGGCATGATTTTCTGTTTCTATTTGGCGCACTATTTACGCAAAATGGACTTGGAAATGGAGTGCATATCATACGCAGCTGGTAGGTTTAGGGGTGTGGGGTAGATGCATATTATATGTACGTCAAAATGCATATTATATGCACTCCAACAAAGTGTGTATCATATGCACGCAGAAACTGTGTACTATATGCATGTCAAACACATAGCACATAAAAAAAAAAAAATAAATAAAAAATAATTGCGCTGTTGATTTTCCTGAGACTGGACTCAAGCAACTGACTTTTTTCTGTTGACTTTTTCCCTTCCACAGATTTCTTTCCTCTTTTCTCCAGAGCTAAAAAATAATAAATATTTATGAGTGGCTAAGCTAGCAGAGAGCAATCGAGGCTATAGCTCACCCAAAAATTTTATATCTGTCATAATTTACTCACTAGATCATCTGAATGCATGTTTCAACTGTTTTTGTCCGTAAAATGAAAGTCAGTGGGGTCCAAAACCTCAACTGGACCTTACTGATTTTTAGTGCATGAATGAAAAATATACTTAGACATTTTTTTTATACATTTTTTGTTCCACAGAAGAATGCATACAGGTTCGGAATGACATGAAGGTGAGTAAATGGTTAAAGAAATTTGGGGTTTATTTTTTTTTTATTTGGGTGAATCTCCCACATGAAAAGTGGCTTCATGCATTACTATCCCAGATGTAATTTACTAGGCTATAAAAATAATCATAAGGGCCTGACTTGCGCATGCTGTGCTTTTTAAGCCAATAATGATATTATAGCTGAAAAATGGACTAAATACCTGTCGTGACATTTTTACACATTTTTGTGAGAGGAGAGTACATGGAGGTTAAAGTTCATCTAACTTGATCTTTTAGTGGTCATTCTCAATAAAGTTCATGTGACTGTGTTCTTTTTTGTCCAATTCACCTTAATTGAGTTAAACCTAATTGTTCTAGTGCATCTGATGTTCTGTTTCTGAAGTTCTGAAGTTTTTATTTCAGGATTATGGTGGCATTTTGATGAAGTGATATTCTGATAATATGTGATAGTAGATTCAATGACAGTATTAAGAGGTCAATGGGTGACCAGCTGTTTGTCTCTATTTCAAATGTCAATTTTGTTTATTAGGCTATTTAACCTTTGCCTTTCATTCCTTTTGTGTACTTCCCCCACCCCCACACCCCCAATCCCCTTGGTAGCATTAAACAAGCTCATAGTTTTAGTCTTATGGTTAGTTACAATACTTATATTGTCTCAATGTCCCAATTGTCTAAAAACAGATCTGGGACAGTATATCTACTAGGCTTTTGGCCAGTTTCAACCAAATCGTGTAAAACTCAGGGGGGTCTAATAAACCAGAGATTAGGCTGTGATGTCTGTGTTCATTTGCACATCTGAGAATACATGCTCATAGACAAAAGATAAACAGAGATAAAGGTGTAATGTTTGTGTGGTTCCCTGTTAACAGCAATAACCTCCTCATAAGCAAATTTTAATAGTAATATTGCTGTGCATGGGGGTGAATGAGAAGTGATTTAACATAGGATGAGTTGTAAAACCAGTCAAACCAATTAGAAATGAGCTACACTGTTCACATATGAGATTACAGCAAGTCTCTGTGTAAAAGAATAATAAAAAAAGAAGAAAAAAAAGATAAATGATTTACAGGACAAAAACATTATGAGAGTATGACCGTAAAATGTGAAAGAAAAAAAGTCCTGTAACAATGTTTATCTTAGCTGTTAAATTAGTGTATAGACCCTACAATATAATAAATATTTTATTAAACTTAATAAGTATTTTATGAAAATAGTAAGGTGATTTTGTGCACAGTACATGCTCGTTTAACAGTACCACGTAGTGACACAATCTTGGGCAGTTTAGGGTTTTAAATTTGTAAACGGGTAAGTTAGATAAAATATAATCAAATAAATATAGGGATGTGATTTTAGAAAAGCAAAAGCAGTTACAGGCATGTGTTACAAAATGTGTTACTCCCTGGTCTCTAAATAGCCTACAGTTTTATCCACAACCCAACTGGTTAGCTTATCATGAGTTGTGTGAAAAATTAACGAGACTACAAAAAAAAGGTTCATTAGTTAACTACATTAGTTAACATGAACTAATAATGAACTGCACTTATACAGCGTTTATTAATCTTTGTTAATGTTAATTTCAACATTTACTAATACATTATTAAAATCTTGTCAACATTAGTTAATAGCTACACTGTGAACTAACATGAACATCTGTATTTTTATTAACTAGCATTAGCGTAGATTAGTAAATACAGTAACAAATGTATTGCTCATGGTTAGTTCATGTTAGTTAATATATTAACTAATGTTTCACTAATGAACCTTATTGTAAAGTGTTACCAAGAAAAAAAAACTCGACGTTAAATACGCTCGAATAACTACAAGAAAGCGGAATAACGAGGGAAAACAAAGCCCGGAGCTGCATTAGCAGGTAGGGGCACGGCTGAGGGTGGGGACGGGTGGAGGAGGAGGAGAGGAGGAGAGGAGGGACGTAAGACAGATTCCTCCCTTATAGACATCCACAAACCCAGCAGAAGCGGGCTGCAGTCTCATCTCTAAAGCAAGAACCCGACACGAACTCAACCCAACATCGCTATGGGATCTTACAGGACTTTAACTTTACCGCTTCTCAGTTTGTTGGGATGGACCCTGATCTCTGCCTTCAACCTGGACACAGACAATGTTATCAGGAAAACGGGAGATGCCAACAGCTTGTTCGGGTTCTCCCTTGCCATGCACCGACAACTCAGACCAGCTGATAAAAGAATGTAAGCATTTATTTTATACTCTTTGGAATCCAGGTATCGTGGCTTTTGTGTGGAGTTTATTCCACATTTGCAGCAGGTTGAATCTTGGTACTTTGGTCGTAGAGCATTTTTGTTTGTTGAACACATTGATTGTAGAATATGTTTGTAATAGGCTACACACTACATTTAATAGTATGTAGCTGGATTCTTTTTTGGCAGTATACACCAATGTACATATTTATGCTATTCTCATAGGAAATCCACACCTGACCTTACTGTTAAGCCTCAAGACATATGCGCCCCCATGCATTGCACTACATTCCAAGCAAGTGCATTAAACAATGTGACCCAAACAATTAGTTCAAACGAAAATGAAAACACTGTCATAATTTAGCTACTCACCTTCATATCGTTTTAAACCCATAGCATATCTTTCTGCTGAAAACAAAAGGAGAAGTTTCGAAGAATGACTTTTCCATGCAATTACAATGTTGATTGAAGAAGCCAAATTTCAAAAAAGGCGCAGCTGCAGCATCACCAACATATTTCATAGCATACTCGCGCGCTATTCCAAGCAATACAGTCATTATGTAAACAAAAAAACAGAAATTAAATTTATTGTTCGATGATAATCTCGGGATTTGCTATAATATGGTGAAAAATAAAAGGAAATAAAGACATTATTTCGAGTTTATTTCCTAAACAAAGCTGTATCACATGGAATACAGCACACAAGAGTTGTGTAGTCACTTTTAAGACACTTTTTGGTCACCTTTATGTGTTTTTGAGGGTTGACACTAATGGAAAATGGAAAAGATAATGTAATATCCAGGAAGAGTATGAGGGAGAGAAACCTAAGTAATGACTTTAGGACCATTTTTATTTGGGACTCTGAGGTTTATGTCATTTCAGGGCATAATTTTATCCACACACTACTGTGCATGCATGTCTAGCTTCATGGAGCTCATTAGAGATGTCTGTCTCTTTCTCTTTTCTCGCTGTGGAGATGTCTGGTCTCCTTCATCCTTTAATTTTAAACCTCTTTGACCTCAAGCACTTCAAGGATTAGATTGTAGGTGGGATCCTTAGTACTTAAGGTTATTTGAGAGTTGCAAACTTTAGAAAGTGTTTCTAGAACACATTTTATAGAATTCTCAGTAATGACAATTTGATATTGTTTTGGTGGTTCACTAAAAAACACACCCGTGTTGCCTTGGCAGCATCAGACATGCATTGTAAGTTTCAAGCCTAACACGCAAGTGAAAGAATGTGTGCAGAAGCCTGTAACTCATTCCTGAACCTCTCTACTGCCATCAACCGTGGCAGCACAGGAGAGAGACTGCCAGGATTGACCTCATGTTTGTCCTGCAGAGAGTGAGCCTACCAGTTATACAAGGGACTGATGTAGTTTTGATGTGTTAGATTTACATTTGCGTTTAGTTATTTAGCACATTCTTTTATACAAAGCAACAAATGTAGAACACCACATGCTGTTGATCATACAAGAGCCTAAAATACTTGAATTGCACAATAGCACAATGCCAAGTTTGATGAGTACGCAAGACTACCACATAAACAAATCCGCGGAAAGCAGGAAAAAGAGGAAACAAGAAGATTATGAGAACAGCCCTTCATTTTAGTTGTGGTTATATATCCAGTAAAATTCAAACATCATACTTTTGGTTATCAGAATACCAATTTAAGGAAGACAAACTGTTGCTTAGTAGCAAACCTTACACCAACCACATTTTGCAACCCCTGAATTGTGCAATCATATAGCAGCATCTTATTTGTATGGATTTATGATATATTTCAAATATTGTAAACCACACCCAGTGTATGAAAGTCACATTTGTGTGTGTGTGTGTGTGTGTGTGTGTGTGCTCTGACTCATATCCTCAGTGTGTATCTCATGGGCTTGGCAGACTGGCTGGCTGTGTTGGAACACAACAAATCTTCTAGTCAGTAACACATGCCCTACAGGTGTGTGTATGTGTGGAGGTGATTCACATTACTGCAGGCCAAGGCAGGGCAGGGTGTGTGTGTTGGGGGGAGTGTAGCATTGATGTAGAATTCCTTGGCTTGTCATAGCTGGCAGGATGGAGCTGCTATTTGGTAATGTAGGCAGTGTGTGTGTTTGTCTGGCACCTTAACATTTCTCTTGTGACAGTCAAACACAAGTTGGAAATGAGGAGCATAAACCTGAAAAGTGATTCCATTCTTATTCTGTGTGTGCTCACTACTAAAATGCACAATGCTGCTTAATTAAAGGGGACTTGGAAAACAGATTCTCTTAGCAAACCACCTCATACACACAGATACAAACAGACAATGGCTACTTTGTTGGTGGACACAAATGCAGGTGTCCACCTGCATTTTGTAGGTGGACACAAATAAAACTAATTTTCATTTTTTTTTAATGTTAAGTACTTTTATTTATTTTTCTACAGTACAAATATCTCTATATCTACAATACTGTTTCTCATAGCTATTATAAGTATTAATTATCAATGCATTTTGTCCCAATGTCTCAGTCAAAGGTGTGGAATATTAACATGTAATTGTGGTCAGCATAACATAGGGAGGTATTGTCAGTACCCTGGAGTCTCATTTATTCTGTGTTACTCTTTGTGAAATGATCCTATTGTAACAGAGTACCTGTAAGAATAGTGGGAAACAATATTCAGCAAGTGGGCCCAGACTTTAACTCAGGAGGCAGGACTTGGCAGAAAGTAATTTTAAGATCTAAGCTCTCACTGAACCTGAGCCCTCATCTTGGCACCAGTAATTGATTGGTTTTGACTTGCCAGTAATTCACTGAAGCAGTCTGGGCTGGTGGTGCTTTCATAATGGCAGTTGTTTCATAAGTACATTGCAGCACTTTCTTTTCTTTTTGTTTGAAAAGATTTAGTTAAACAAAATGGTATCCACCAGTTCATAGTAAAATGCGTTCTGAGCAAGAGTGAAGCACCACCTAGTTACCTGTCAATGAACCACAGCGCTAAGGGTTTTAAACGACTGTGCAGAAATTAAAGTAAATAAACATCCAATTGAAACATTCTGACAAGCCCATACATATACATGCAGAAGGCTTCACAGAACATGCAGTGACCTGAGTTCATGTAATGCAGGTAACCCCTAAAAAATAACAGTGAGCATTCAACCTGAAACGTGACATGCCAATTTTCAGTGTTTGTCTTATTATTACATTTTGTACTTTATCCACCTGCAGTAACACGCTGACATTGTGAGTGATGTATCTAGTCACAAAATCACATATTGTTGAAATCTGAGACCCTCCTTTTGAAATCTGATCACAAGTGGTCACCGGAGACATGTTTGAGATGCATGTCCTGGTGCAAACAGGATCTGAGTGTCTGTGGGGACAGGGGTGTCTGTGTTCTCCAACTTTCACGGTTAACTTTGCAGTGTGACATATTTTGAAGGTTTCTTTGGGTATCTAGTGTTTCCTCAACACGTTCTTGAACAATAATAACCAAATTTTAATCTGATTTGGCTTTAACATGTGGTGGAACAATGTAGCCACTGAAAACACATTCAGTATATACAATAATATGTTGGCCCATATCCCAGAGTGCAGTGGGTCCAGTCTGCATGGAAATGGGCTACTGCTTCCTTCCTGTGATTCTCTTAGCTTCCTGTGCAGGAGTAGGCATAAAGATTGGGCTGAATTTGTACGGCAGTAAGAGCAGGCAGGTATTAGTCTTATTCATCTGTTACTTTCTATTGCATTGGCCAGTCTCAAGTAGTCTCAAACTAACCACCGTAGTTTGCCCATTCGATATGTCATTTCCCAATCCCATTGTCTCTCTACTTTCTAATTTCTTCAATCTCAAATATAATAATGGCAAAAAGCCCATAGATTAAGAAGAAAATTTGTTTTCTTTATCACCTTTACAGTAATAGTTCACCCAAAAATGAAAATTCATCATTCATCAGTAGTCATCGTTTACTCACCCATATGTTTTTCCAAACTCTTTTGAAACCCAAAATGAAAATATTTTTAATGAAACCATTCCAAAGTCCATTCCACCAAAACTTAAGCTTCAAAAAGATCATAAAGACATTGTAAAAACAATCCAAATGTCAAACAGTTTGATTGCTTCATATGAGAAACAGATTGAATTTACTGAGAATGAAATCGAACTGTTATTTACAAATAGACACTGAACAATGCACATACATAGAGCAAAGAGCACATTAAATATGGTCAAAGGCAGCATTACAGTAATTGCTTAATGCACCGGAACAAACTACATTGGTTCTTGTATATTAAGCAAGAATATTTGAGCTTTTGTTTACCATATTTGATGGACTTCATGCATGTGCATTTTAGCCTCCAGTTCTCTTGAGTAGTATAGCCTATTGAGCCATAGAGAAATATCAAACCACCGAAAAGATCAAAATTAGGCCCTGTGAATATTAGCGATGAACTTAAATGTATGCATTTAGCAGATGCTTTTATCCAAAGCGACTTACAGTGAACTCAGGCTATACATTTTTTATCAGTATGTGTGTTCCCTGGGAATTGAACCCACAACCGTTGCATTGCTCTACCACTGAGCCACAAGAACCTTGACTTTATTCAACACATATTTTGTGAATACTGATGCCTAGACCTGTAGCTAGTCATGAAAGTATCATTGCCTAAAGGGAGTTGGAGAAAAATCTTGTTCTTCAACAGCACCGTTGTTGTGCACAGTAGGTCAGGTAATATCAGTTTGCAGTCTGTATCTTTAAGCCTGGAGTCTTTGAAATGTTTGAGGCACATCTGGAGCTGTAATTCAGCTGCTGTCAGATCGTAATGTGAACCATGACACTCCAAACCTCCTCAGCAGACCCAGCTCTTGCACCATAGCAATGGCCTCCTCTGTAGATTCCTCAAAACATCAATGCTTAGCATTCCATGCAAAATTATGAGAGCATGTTTATAAAATTGTTTGGCCTACTACAATATAACCACGATTTAGTGCTTTTCAAATAATAACATGCTTTTAGCTGTATCAGTGAGTAAACAAGTGTGGGTTAAGAGTTGAGGCAAAAAGTTTTGAATTAAAGACACAGTGTTCATGCCACATTGGAAATATCGTAGTTACAAGATGATTCTACTCGAAGTTTCAGAAATTATTGTTTCTACAGCAACAGCCATAAATGCAAAAATGAATCCAAGTGTGGATTTGCTGGTAATGACAGCAAAATTCCCATTCTCTTGTAAAATCAAAGAAAGCGCAACAAGTAACACTTGCTATTGTAAAGTGGCACAACAGAAATGTGTGTAGAGGTTGCTACTGTTAGCAACAATTTTGGTTGTTTTTACATGATGTCACAATCAAATGGGAGCTTTCACAAAATTCTGAGTTATAATTATGTGTTTGACAAATATATGAAAGGACAAGTTGGAAGCTCGTAATTACAGTAATTCTAACATGGCACAGGTCAAATGCACCATAATATTTAGCTAGCCAGAATCATTTTATTGACACCAGTGCCAAACACTCATACACTTTCATGTCTTGAGATAGAAAGAGACTTTTTGTGTTGGTTATTGTGCATTGTTATCTGACTGTATAACAGATACACCTGCCTTTAACGTTTGCATTAAAAGTTAATGGGGTAGCCATTTAACTTTATTTGTTGCCGTTTAATGAAAAGATTAATTAAAATCAGTAGTTTAAAATGATCAATTTGGACAAACAAGCATCTAAACACACGGGTGACTAGTTCTGCAAGAGCAAAACATCTTGCGAATACTTTACAAGATCAGAGTAACGTTTTTCAATTTGCCAGGCCTGCAGTTTCTGCTTTCCTATTATATGAAATGCTTTAGAAGTCAAGACCACTCACTCTCTAGAATGAGTAATTGTTGAGAGCCTGACATTTTTAACAGATGAGACATATTTCTCTGTGTCTGCATCACTCTGTGCATAATTGAATGCCAGTGTCAGACTCTGGCCTCAGGACTCTCTGAAAAAGCTCTTAGTAAATAGAATACTTGTCCTCTCTGTTCTCCCCTCCCCCACCTCCACCTCTCTCTTTTCTTTCCTTCTATCACTTAATCCCTCTCACTTTCTGAATCTTTCATCTTCTCCCCTCTGTTGTTCTGTGGACACTCCTTTTTTTAAAAGTTACCAAAAAATGTGCAATGTTCTTTCCAATTTCATCTTTTTTTCTTGGAATTTGGGCTTGTTAGTCCTGTAGATATAACTGTAACAGAGCAAACCATCTCAATAGTGGTAGTGAGGCATATCCTTGTTGTGCTATTCGTTACATCTTTCTGGGGAGTGATTAATGGAGGCACATTACATTAGCCACAAATCAATTATGGGGTTTTCAGAATGGAAGGATGCTGTTCAGGAGCTGATTGTGATCCAGATTATTGCAATTTCCTGAGATCTGTAGGTCAATTAACATAAGGGCTGCTGGTCCAATAACAAAGCTTTTAATAAAATGAAGGGGTCTTGTCTGCATTCATTTTAGGAAATATTGCGGCTCCAGAGTATAAATCAACCTGATCATGAGAAAATCTAATTATTTTCTGAGGCGTAAGAAGACTGTGTGAAAATGTATGAATGAGATTCAATTTCAAATACAAATTCATATGAATTTGATACCAGTTTGCAAAACATAAAACAGTTATGAATTGCTGTGACTGTGTGTATGCATATATTCTTATGAATATGTTTGTCAGTAATATCTTTTGTTGTTGTTTTTCTTTACTTTTATGGTTAAAGTTAATGGACACTAGAACATTCTTTGTTGTGTTGTAGGATGTGTAAATGTAGTGATTTTCAAGCCTAAGCATTGCATTAAATTGAATGTAATCATGAACATTTTCATCAGATATAGCAATCTGTATGCTCTCAAGAGTGCAATGAATAGCAGGTATTCAGTGGCTATTTTTGCCCAGCACAAAAAAGTTTGTGTTGCCCTTTCAGAAAAACAGTGCTGTCTCTGTCTGTTTGGAAAATGTGACTCTAAAGCTATTCTCTTTTTTTGTGATCCAGACAGATCTTGGTCTATATGGTTGTTCACTTACAGAAGGCATTAGTAGTGATTGTTGGAAATATCAGTAGATCAAAGCATGAAACGAAGGGAATTCCCACCCTTTTTAAACCTATGCAACCCCAGAATTCTGCACTATATTTTAGGCCCAGGGATATGCAAACACATGTTCAGCTGACTTTTATTGAGTTATCCAGAAATAACAAAAATGACGTCTTTGGTCATCTGTATGCTTAAGTAATAAATGTAATAATGACTGAATAGTTTCACACATTTGAAATGGACCGCACTTGAACTGCACTTCCCAAATGACATTGAAATTGGAAATCCTCTGCGTGTGACCTCGTATGTCCCAGGTCTTTCAGTATTAACATGCTAAACAAAATTAAGAGGCTTGTACACTCTTAGAAGAAAATGTGCAAAAATGATACCTTTAAGGCAGCAGTCTTAAGGGACATCGCTGTACCTTATTTACCCCTAAAAGGTTCATTGTTGTGTCTTGAGGATACATATTACTACTCTAACGTGCTAATATGCACCTTTTAAGGGGTAGATAAAGTAAAACGTAAAGTATAAAGTCCCATGTCAAGCTTGTAAATATGACAAGCTTCTTGTAAATATATTACTTTTAGGGAAAAGTAAAACAGTGTATGCATCTAAAGAGTTCTAGGACATTGCCATGTGCTTTTACTCTTTATTCAACTTTTGGTGGGGGTATTGTGGGAAATGTAGGCTTTTCTTCAGTCAGACCCTTTTTGTCTATGCCCACAAAGAGAGCTTGTGTAGCTAAAATCTGTGAAGTGTTGGGATGAATGTTATCGCTGAACCAGTCAATCCAAAGAAGAGAAAAGAGGCTTTCACTTGCATAAATGAAGTGAAACCAGAGATACAGCCTTTGGTGGTGAATATCCTAGGTAGTCTGTGGACTAAATTTCCTTTATTCAGAAGAGAAAAGATATTCAATGGGGAGTTTTTCCAGTTGAAAGAATAGAAAGAGTGTACAGAAGACTTCCCCCCACTCTCTAATACACAGTGCACAAGTAATGTGTCCAGACAATGGCTCATTTTCTGTGTGGGCATGTGGGCATTTACTGAAGACCCATGTGGGGAGAAATAGAAGATAATAATGAAACGCTAGAGATGCTTAAGTTGAGCCATTTACTTCATAACACGTTGTCCATATGTAATGAACAAATATCAATTTATAGAGTTTGAAATATTGCTCCAAACATTCATAAGTGGTTTGTTGTGTGTGCAACTGATGATTGAATCAGTGTAAACATATTTGCAATTTATTATGACCATCATTCTGACCACATTGTTGACCATGTTTCTCAAAAATGCAATTTTCATCTTGGTCTATATGGTTGTTCACTTACAGAAGGCATTAGTAGTGATTGTTGGAAATATCAGTAGATCAAAGCATGAAATGAAGGGAATTCCCACCCTTTTTAAACCTATGCAACCCCAGAATTCTGCACTATATTTTAGGCCCAGGGATATGCAAACACATGTTCAGCTGACCTTTATTGAGTTATCCAGAAATAACAAAAATGACGTCTTTGGTCATCTGTATGCTTAAGTAATAAATGTAATAATGACTGAATAGTTTCACACATTTGAAATGGACCGCACTTGAACTGCACTTCCCAAATGACATTGAAATTGGAAATCAAAATTAAGAGGCTTGTACACTCTTAGAAGAAAATGTGCAAAAATGATACCTTTAAGGCAGCAGTCTTAAGGGACATCGCTGTACCTTATTTACCCCTAAAAGGTTCATTGTTGTGTCTTGAGGATACATATTACTACTCTAACGTGCTAATATGCACCTTTTAAGGGGTAGATAAAGTAAAACGTAAAGTATAAAGTCCCATGTCAAGCTTGTAAATATGACAAGCTTCTTGTAAATATATTACTTTTAGGGAAAAGTAAAACAGTGTATGCATCTAAAGAGTTCTAGGACATTGCCATGTGCTTTTACTCTTTATTCAACTTTTGGTGGGGGTATTGTGGGAAATGTAGGCTTTTCTTCAGTCAGACCCTTTTTGTCTATGCCCACAAAGAGAGCTTGTGTAGCTAAAATCTGTGAAGTGTTGGGATGAATGTTATCGCTGAACCAGTCAATCCAAAGAAGAGAAAAGAGGCTTTCACTTGCATAAATGAAGTGAAACCAGAGATACAGCCTTTGGTGGTGAATATCCTAGGTAGTCTGTGGACTAAATTTCCTTTATTGATTAATCGCATCCAAAATAAAGTCTGTGTTTACATAATATATGTGCGTGTACTGTGTATATTTCTATGTATGTATAAATACACACACATAGGCTACATGTATATATTTAAAAAATATTTACAGGTATATGTATAGGTATGTATGTATATATATATATATATATATATATATATTTATATGATTTATATTATATATAAATATAAATATTACATATATTTCTTAAATATATATATGTGTGTATATTTATATATACATATAAATACACACACACACACACACACACACACATATATATATATATATGTAAATGTATATGTATGTGTGTGTATATATATATATATATATATATAAAATCACTGAGGCACTTAGCAAAATATCTTGTTTTTTATATCCCACAGAAGAAGGTAAGTCTTATAGGTCTGGAATGACATGAGGGTGTGTAAATGAAGAGTTAGATGCAAAAGCCTCTAAGTGCAATCTGAATTTTTCTTCTAAAATGAGCATTTTTCTCAGGCCCTATGTTTATGTTCAATTATTTCACTTTAATTGCAATGAACAGAACCTATTCATTGCCATTAAAGTGAAATGACTGAACCTACACATAGGAGCCTGATTAAAAATGCTCATTTTAGAAGAAAATATCAAACGGCACTTAGAAGCTTTCGCATCTGAACTCTTCAAATGATGACAGAACTCAGTTTGGGTGAACTCTTGACTTTCAGACATTCTTGTGCATGTAGAAAACCTGGAAACTGAAAATAAGCAAAACCAGTGGATGGGAGTAACTGTACAGAGCCAGGGACCTGGAGGAAAGATATTGGTAAGAGAGAGAGAGAGTGTGTGTTATATTGAAAAGAGAGAGTGTGTGAATATTAAAATGATACACTATTTAATCGAAATGAGTAAAAATGAAATAATGCTGTCAAATCGATTAATCGTGATTAATCGCATCCAAAATAAAGTCTGTGTTTACATAATATATGTGCGTGTACTGTGTATATTTCTATGTATGTATAAATACACACACATAGGCTACATGTATATATTTAAAAAATATTTACAGGTATATGTATAGGTATGTATGTGTATATATATATATATTTATATATATATTTATATGATTTATATTATATATAAATATAAATATTACATATATTTCTTAAATATATATATGTGTGTATATTTATATATACATATAAATACACACACACACACACACACACACACATATATATATATATATGTAAATCATATATTTTTTAATATGAGTAATCGCGATTAATTAAAATAAAAAACAACAACAACTGAAATCATTCATGTTAAACGCTACAAGTGAATTTAGGAAATACAATGTACAGTATAAAAATAGATATTCATTTTGAGATTTGCTAAAGATGACAGCCAAGGTAATCTAAATGTAAAAATAAGGGGAAAAATGTTTGAGGTCAGTATTTAAAAAATATATTTAATGCGGTAATGACAAGTTAACTTGATCAAAAGTTACATAAGATTTTTTATTTCATATAAATGATGTTCTTTCGATATTTAGTAAACTTAAATACATTTGAAAATTAGAAAATTATTCTACAGTAGAATAATGTTATTTTAGACTGTAATAATTTTTCACAATATTTTTACTCTATTTTTGATCAAATAAATGCAGCCTTGGTGAAGAAAAGAGAGTTGCAATCCCTCTTACCAACCCCAAACGGTTTTAATTTTTTTGAACGGTAGTATATAGCGGAAATATCCTTTTTGTAACAGTGCAAAAAAGTTTTTATAAATTTTTTATTATGTACTATGATTATTTCTTTAGTTTATTTATCTATGTATTACAGTTTTATGCTATTTAATTCACTGATTTAAACTGAACTCCTGCTGTCTCTCTCCCAGGTCTGTGCGCATCGCTACCAGCGACGCTTATTTGTGGACTCAGTTCAGGAGCTGCGTGACATCACGGGTCGTTGCTACGTACTAAGTGAGGACCTAACGATTAATAATACCTCGGATGAAGACGGAGGGGACTGGATGTTCTGTAAAGGGAGAAACAGAGGACACGAGCGCTTCGGATCATGCCAGCAGGGTCTCTCTGCCACATTCACAAAGGACTATCACTATCTGGTGTTTGGAGCACCGGGTGCTTACAACTGGAAAGGTATTGGAGGACAAGTTGGATTAGAGTGCTTGTATGTATATTTGCGTTGAAGTATAGGTAAATCTCATTTTTGGGATAATATTTAATGTTAAGTGAAAACCCAGTTGTTATGAGAAGGTCAAGCAATGGCCACTGTCAAACAAGGCCCATAATTCCCCACATCACTCAATTTTGCACCTTCACGACATGTTCATTTTCTTTGTCAGTTCATTGCATCTGACATATTGTATTTTATCGCCCCTTTTTAAACTTCTTTTCTGACATCTCTCATTCACTTTCTCCATCCTCAACCCTTCGCCCTTTTCCTTTCCTTTTCACTCTCTCCTCCGCTGGGTGGATGTCAGGAGTGGTGCGGATGGAGCAGAAGAACAGCTCTCTGTGGGATGAGAATATCTATGATGACGGCCCATATGAAGTTGGAGACGAGGGCCGACTTGATCCAGACCTGGTGCCTGTCCCTGCTAACAGTTATTTAGGTGAGTCCCTCATCACATGACATTCCATTCATCATCCATATCACTCCATCATGTGTGATTAGGAGGATGTATAAACATTTCCAGCACAGTTAGGATGCAAGGCATAGATATAGATTGCCTTTCTTACCCTTTATTTGGTTTTACTCCATTTAAGGTCTGGTTGGTTGTTTGTGCTTTATTTGGTGCAAATCGTGTTTGTGTAAATGTAGGTGTGCTGTTCATGACTAGCATATCCAGTAGCCATCCTGATCAGTTTGTGTATCAGTCACCTCCCCTTCAGGTGGCCAAGGAGAACGTTTATGATGTGGCCTCCAATAGCTATTTAGGTTTGTGGGATTTCCTGGACGCCAACTTGATCAATTATTTGCGTTCAACCTCTCATCATGCTGGTCTTTACATTGTGTCCTTTTTTGTGAACACATGTGAATGCTGTTGCTACATTATTGTTTTGAAGCTGTCTTTGTGTTGACATCCACATTGCATGAGCAAAACTAAGACATACTATGAATGACCAAGTCAGTAGGAATCATGCATGTTGGCATTGATGTTGTTTATAGGTTTTATCATTGCATATTCCATCATCGCTGAAAGATTTTCAATATTCTTTTGGTGAACTAATCTTTATCTGATGTTGTGATTGGTTGGATCTGTCACAGGTTTCTCTCTGGACTCTGGAAAAATGCTGACCAAGAGAGGTCAGTTGACTATAGTTGCTGGGGCTCCAAGAGCCAATCACAGTGGGGCAGTTGTGCTATTAAAGAAGGACGACGTTAAACCATCCATGATGACAGCTGAATACATCCTGGAGGGTGCCGGACTTGCCTCTTCCTTTGGCTATGATCTTGCAGTGCTTGACATTAATGGAGATGGGTAAGAGTCACTAAAACATAATTATATATTATATTATATTATATGATATTATCTAAAATAGTCTCATTAAGAATATGTTTTTCATGTGTTTAATTTGTTGTAGATCAGTGTTACTTTAGTAGTATTTATATACTTTTATAGTATTTATTCATAAATTAGCTTTTTTATATAGAATTTCTGTTGTTATTATAATTTAAGTTTTAGTTAATTTAATATGAGGTTTTAACATTAAATTTTTTTAATATGTCTATTTAGCTTTCATTTATTTTAGTTGTAGTTTTAGTAATTTGATATTTCAGATGAAACCTTTTTTAGAGGAAACATTTCAAAATTCTGTTATGTTTTTTTAAATCTAAGGGTTATTTGATTTTATTATTTGATTTTATTTGATTCATCTAATGTTTGTTTTATTTTATTTTTTATTTTATTATTTCAGCTTTAATATATAATTTAAAATTGTAATAGTTTTAGTTTGATTTACTAATAGCAACACTAGATGTATAATTATTCTGCACTGATTATTAAAACAGGTGGCAGGACATTGTAGTCGGAGCACCTCAGTACTTTATTAAGGATGGTTATATCGGTGGGGCCATCTATGTTTATCTTAACGAGGAAGGGGCTTGGGACAAGATCACCCCCAAGAGAATTGAGGGAGCTGCTGATTCCATGTTTGGTTTGGCTGTGGAAAACATGGGAGATGTGAACCTGGATGGTTATCATGGTATGTGTTTAGTATATAGTCTCTTCTATGAATACAGCTAATGCAAAACATCCAGAACCAACAGGCTCTAGTAAAGACATATAGAGAAGAAAAGATGGCGTATTATATACATCAATTAACATTTAAACAATACTATGTTAATGGTGATAACCACAATAATATTTGGATGAAATATGTAACTAATTTTCTTAATGTAATCCTGCTGTTTTTCAGATGTTGCAGTTGGTGCCCCATATGACAGTAATGGAGCTGGAAACGTATATATCTTCCATGGTTCACCTCAAGGTCTTAAAAAAGCCCAGGTACAGCCATATATTCACTTTTCTTTCCTTTCAGTTTTCCTTCAGTATTCACTCATTGATTTTTCAATAATAAATTCAATAATTTCAGGTTCTTGGAGGACAAGATCACAACGTGAAACTCTTTGGATACTCTCTTGCTGGGAACATGGATTTAGACAGAAATAATTACCCTGATCTGGCTATCGGATCTCTCTCTGATTCAGTGTTTGTGTACAGGTATGATCATATTGATAGACAACCTATTAAGGATTTTTTTTATAAACAATTTCATTTCATTTCATTTTTACTAACATGCATTTTCATATCTCCTCATTTTATTATCATTATTATCATTTATTATTTTACTTCATTTAGCAATATGGATGAATGATTAAATGCATTAATTATGGGTCTTACACTATAGGGCACGGTCAGTTATCAGCATTGAAAAGACTGTCACCACCACTCCAAAGGAGCTAGACCTCACTCAGAAAAACTGTGGAGACACTATATGGTGAGAAAACTATAATCAAAACAAGCAAACCTTATGATATTAGCCAATAGCCAGTAACCCCTATCTAAAAGCAAGGTTTTATTGTGTTTTTTAGCCTTGATGTAAAAGCCTGCTTCAAATTTTCAGTCAAACCCAAAACCTACAATCCTACTCTGAGTAAGTACATGTTTCTAGTTTACCTTCACAGGTAAATTACTACTCAGTAATTGTTCATCTCTGTTGTGCAGAATCTTATCACTGTAAACAAATGACAACATTTGGTTTGACCATGTCTTTTTTCCCTTCTTTAGAGGTGAAATACTCTATCAAGGTTGAATCTGAACGGAAGAAACTTAATCTTCCTTCTAGAGTCATCTTCAACCCGCGCTCAGCCAATGATTATGAAAGCACAGGAGTCGTAGAGCTCAAGGGTCAGGGCACAGAAAGCTGCGTTACCAGAGGCCTCAGACTGCAGGTACAGCACATCCCATTCAGAGGGGAAAATTACTACTGAGTGACATGATGTTAAAGTAACAGCTTTAAATTGAGGACTTCAGAATAAGCTTACAGGGGGCAACTGTGACAATAAATCAACAGGGACAGGGGTAGTAAGGAATCAATGGCTTTACATTGATGCAGTAAAAAAAGGAAGTACTGCCATCTAGTGGTCATTGTTTATACTTCTGGATTAAGGGCACGTTTGACGCTTTAGTTATGGAATGGCATTATGCTGCAAACAATGTAAAATGCTAATGTCTTTTAATAATGCAAGTATGTTATGTACAAAGGAAACCCTAAGAGACAAACTGAGAGGTATCCCGATTGAAGTCTCTGTGGAGATCCTGAAGCCATCCACACGCAGGAAGAGACAGAGCGCTCTCCCTAACCTGCTTCCCATCCTGGACACTAACCAAGACGCCACCACTCTTACCAAGGTACCATCATCTTCTTAAGCTACTATCTACCACGTGATCTACCATGATCTTATTTATTATACACGATATACACTGTCATTCAAAAGTTTGGGGTTGGTAAGATTTGTTAATGTTTTTGAAAGAAAACTCTTATTCTCACCTAATGCTTAAATGATTTGATCAGATATACAGTAAAAACAATAATATTGTGAAATATTCTTACAGTTTAAAATAACTGTTGTCTATGTGAATTAAAAAAAAAAGTAAATTATACCTGTGATGCAAAGCTGAATTTTCAGTAGTCTTCAGTGTCACATGATCCTTCAGAAATCATTCTAATGTGCTGATTTGCTGCTCAAGAAACATTTCTGATTATTATGAAGACAGTTGTGTTGCTTTATATTTTTGTATAAAGCAGCACAATATTTTGTAACAACGCAAAAGTGATCTTTAATATATCTTTTGTTCAATCTAATGCATCCTGCTGAATCCTTAAATTCTTTCTAAAAAATCATGTTGACCCCAAACTTTGGATTTATTATCATATTCTAATCGAAATATTATCCTAGTATGTTGGATATTATCAAATGTATGTTGATTTTCATATTTATAGTGAACATTTTATTTGAATTTACTCTTAAATCTAAGTTTTGAAATGGTTTACCAACAAACTGCTCAACTTTATCCAACTAACTTAACTTTTTTATACTTAAAAAACTGAAGTAAACCAGTACCAAACACGTCTAAAGATCTCATTCAGTATTAAATGTTCTTCTGAATCATATTGGCTTTCAGGTTCAGTTTATCAAGGAAGGATGTGGTGCTGATCATGTCTGTCAGAGTGACCTGCAACTACAGTATAAATTCCACACCAGGGAACCAAACAGAGACATCTTTCACCCATTACCTGAGTGAGTTTTTATTTATTTATTTGTTCATCATTTTATTATCATGTTTTTATGTTTTATATGTCAGAATTTTGGAAAGCATCCCTCATGTCTTTTTTTAAAGTGACATCAGTTGTGTTCAAGTGAATGAGCAAACAAACTTCAAAACAAATGGCAAAATAAAGTGTCATGAAGAAGAAGAATTCATTTGAATCTCTTTGTTTTCCTCACAGGGAAAATGGAGTTCCCATCCTGTCTCTTAGTGATCAGAAGGACATAGCCTTGGAGATCAAGGTGGCGAACCAGGGTGAAGATGCTTATGAAGCGCAGCTGTCTTCCTCGTTCCCCAAATCCCTCTCTTATTCTGCCGTTCGCATTCAATCTGGTGTAAGTTCAGCTGCTAGATGTCTAACTTATGACCAACTTATTTATTGTTCATTATTTTTATTATCATTAATATTTTTATAAGTGCTGTCAAATGATTAATCGCGATTAATCGCATCCAAAATAAAAGTTTTTGTTTACATAATATATGTATGTGTACTGTGTATATTTTAGATATAGATTGCCTTTCTTACCCTTTATTTGGTTTTACTCCATTTAAGGTCTGGTTGGTTGTTTGTGCTTTATTTGGTGCAAATCGTGTTTGTGTAAATGTAGGTGTGCTGTTCATGACTAGCATATCCAGTAGCCATCCTGATCAGTTTGTGTATCAGTCACCTCCCCTTCAGGTGGCCAAGGAGAACGTTTATGATGTGGCCTCCAATAGCTATTTAGGTTTGTGGGATTTCCTGGACGCCAACTTGATCAATTATTTGCGTTCAACCTCTCATCATGCTGGTCTTTTACATTGTGTCCTTTTTTGTGAACACATGTGAATGCTGTTGCTACATTATTGTTTTGAAGCTGTCTTTGTGTTGACATCCACATTGCATGAGCAAAACTAAGACATACTATGAATGACCAAGTCAGTAGGAATCATGCATGTTGGCATTGATGTTGTTTATAGGTTTTATCATTGCATATTCCATCATCGCTGAAAGATTTTCAATATTCTTTTGGTGAACTAATCTTTATCTGATGTTGTGATTGGTTGGATCTGTCACAGGTTTCTCTCTGGACTCTGGAAAAATGCTGACCAAGAGAGGTCAGTTGACTATAGTTGCTGGGGCTCCAAGAGCCAATCACAGTGGGGCAGTTGTGCTATTAAAGAAGGACGACGTTAAACCATCCATGATGACAGCTGAATACATCCTGGAGGGTGCCGGACTTGCCTCTTCCTTTGGCTATGATCTTGCAGTGCTTGACATTAATGGAGATGGGTAAGAGTCACTAAAACATAATTATATATTATATTATATTATATGATATTATCTAAAATAGTCTCATTAAGAATATGTTTTTCATGTGTTTAATTTGTTGTAGATCAGTGTTACTTTAGTAGTATTTATATACTTTTATAGTATTTATTCATAAATTAGCTTTTTTATATAGAATTTCTGTTGTTATTATAATTTAAGTTTTAGTTAATTTAATATGAGGTTTTAACATTAAATTTTTTTAATATGTCTATTTAGCTTTCATTTATTTTAGTTGTAGTTTTAGTAATTTGATATTTCAGATGAAACCTTTTTTAGAGGAAACATTTCAAAATTCTGTTATGTTTTTTTAAATCTAAGGGTTATTTGATTTTATTATTTGATTTTATTTGATTCATCTAATGTTTGTTTTATTTTATTTTTTATTTTATTATTTCAGCTTTAATATATAATTTAAAATTGTAATAGTTTTAGTTTGATTTACTAATAGCAACACTAGATGTATAATTATTCTGCACTGATTATTAAAACAGGTGGCAGGACATTGTAGTCGGAGCACCTCAGTACTTTATTAAGGATGGTTATATCGGTGGGGCCATCTATGTTTATCTTAACGAGGAAGGGGCTTGGGACAAGATCACCCCCAAGAGAATTGAGGGAGCTGCTGATTCCATGTTTGGTTTGGCTGTGGAAAACATGGGAGATGTGAACCTGGATGGTTATCATGGTATGTGTTTAGTATATAGTCTCTTCTATGAATACAGCTAATGCAAAACATCCAGAACCAACAGGCTCTAGTAAAGACATATAGAGAAGAAAAGATGGCGTATTATATACATCAATTAACATTTAAACAATACTATGTTAATGGTGATAACCACAATAATATTTGGATGAAATATGTAACTAATTTTCTTAATGTAATCCTGCTGTTTTTCAGATGTTGCAGTTGGTGCCCCATATGACAGTAATGGAGCTGGAAACGTATATATCTTCCATGGTTCACCTCAAGGTCTTAAAAAAGCCCAGGTACAGCCATATATTCACTTTTCGTTCCTTTCAGTTTTCCTTCAGTATTCACTCATTGATTTTTCAATAATAAATTCAATAATTTCAGGTTCTTGGAGGACAAGATCACAACGTGAAACTCTTTGGATACTCTCTTGCTGGGAACATGGATTTAGACAGAAATAATTACCCTGATCTGGCTATCGGATCTCTCTCTGATTCAGTGTTTGTGTACAGGTATGATCATATTGATAGACAACCTATTAAGGATTTTTTTTATAAACAATTTCATTTCATTTCATTTTTACTAACATGCATTTTCATATCTCCTCATTTTATTATCATTATTATCATTTATTATTTTACTTCATTTAGCAATATGGATGAATGATTAAATGCATTAATTATGGGTCTTACACTATAGGGCACGGTCAGTTATCAGCATTGAAAAGACTGTCACCACCACTCCAAAGGAGCTAGACCTCACTCAGAAAAACTGTGGAGACACTATATGGTGAGAAAACTATAATCAAAACAAGCAAACCTTATGATATTAGCCAATAGCCAGTAACCCCTATCTAAAAGCAAGGTTTTATTGTGTTTTTTAGCCTTGATGTAAAAGCCTGCTTCAAATTTTCAGTCAAACCCAAAACCTACAATCCTACTCTGAGTAAGTACATGTTTCTAGTTTACCTTCACAGGTAAATTACTACTCAGTAATTGTTCATCTCTGTTGTGCTGAATCTTATCACTGTAAACAAATGACAACATTTGGTTTGACCATGTCTTTTTTCCCTTCTTTAGAGGTGAAATACTCTATCAAGGTTGAATCTGAACGGAAGAAACTTAATCTTCCTTCTAGAGTCATCTTCAACCCGCGCTCAGCCAATGATTATGAAAGCACAGGAGTCGTAGAGCTCAAGGGTCAGGGCACAGAAAGCTGCGTTACCAGAGGCCTCAGACTGCAGGTACAGCACATCCCATTCAGAGGGGAAAATTACTACTGAGTGACATGATGTTAAAGTAACAGCTTTAAATTGAGGACTTCAGAATAAGCTTACAGGGGGCAACTGTGACAATAAATCAACAGGGACAGGGGTAGTAAGGAATCAATGGCTTTACATTGATGCAGTAAAAAAAGGAAGTACTGCCATCTAGTGGTCATTGTTTATACTTCTGGATTAAGGGCACGTTTGACGCTTTAGTTATGGAATGGCATTATGCTGCAAACAATGTAAAATGCTAATGTCTTTTAATAATGCAAGTATGTTATGTACAAAGGAAACCCTAAGAGACAAACTGAGAGGTATCCCGATTGAAGTCTCTGTGGAGATCCTGAAGCCATCCACACGCAGGAAGAGACAGAGCGCTCTCCCTAACCTGCTTCCCATCCTGGACACTAACCAAGACGCCACCACTCTTACCAAGGTACCATCATCTTCTTAAGCTACTATCTACCACGTGATCTACCATGATCTTATTTATTATACACGATATACACTGTCATTCAAAAGTTTGGGGTTGGTAAGATTTGTTAATGTTTTTGAAAGAAAACTCTTATTCTCACCTAATGCTTAAATGATTTGATCAGATATACAGTAAAAACAATAATATTGTGAAATATTCTTACAGTTTAAAATAACTGTTGTCTATGTGAATTAAAAAAAAAAGTAAATTATACCTGTGATGCAAAGCTGAATTTTCAGTAGTCTTCAGTGTCACATGATCCTTCAGAAATCATTCTAATGTGCTGATTTGCTGCTCAAGAAACATTTCTGATTATTATGAAGACAGTTGTGTTGCTTTATATTTTTGTATAAAGCAGCACAATATTTTGTAACAACGCAAAAGTGATCTTTAATATATCTTTTGTTCAATCTAATGCATCCTGCTGAATCCTTAAATTCTTTCTAAAAAATCATGTTGACCCCAAACTTTGGATTTATTATCATATTCTAATCGAAATATTATCCTAGTATGTTGGATATTATCAAATGTATGTTGATTTTCATATTTATAGTGAACATTTTATTTGAATTTACTCTTAAATCTAAGTTTTGAAATGGTTTACCAACAAACTGCTCAACTTTATCCAACTAACTTAACTTTTTTATACTTAAAAAACTGAAGTAAACCAGTACCAAACACGTCTAAAGATCTCATTCAGTATTAAATGTTCTTCTGAATCATATTGGCTTTCAGGTTCAGTTTATCAAGGAAGGATGTGGTGCTGATCATGTCTGTCAGAGTGACCTGCAACTACAGTATAAATTCCACACCAGGGAACCAAACAGAGACATCTTTCACCCATTACCTGAGTGAGTTTTTATTTATTTATTTGTTCATCATTTTATTATCATGTTTTTATGTTTTATATGTCAGAATTTTGGAAAGCATCCCTCATGTCTTTTTTTAAAGTGACATCAGTTGTGTTCAAGTGAATGAGCAAACAAACTTCAAAACAAATGGCAAAATAAAGTGTCATGAAGAAGAAGAATTCATTTGAATCTCTTTGTTTTCCTCACAGGGAAAATGGAGTTCCCATCCTGTCTCTTAGTGATCAGAAGGACATAGCCTTGGAGATCAAGGTGGCGAACCAGGGTGAAGATGCTTATGAAGCGCAGCTGTCTTCCTCGTTCCCCAAATCCCTCTCTTATTCTGCCGTTCGCATTCAATCTGGTGTAAGTTCAGCTGCTAGATGTCTAACTTATGACCAACTTATTTATTGTTCATTATTTTTATTATCATTAATATTTTTATAAGTGCTGTCAAATGATTAATCGCGATTAATCGCATCCAAAATAAAAGTTTTTGTTTACATAATATATGTATGTGTACTGTGTATATTTGTTATGTATATATATATTCACATACAGCATATATTTTGAAAATATTTACATGTATATACATTTATATATTGGTATTCTTATATTATATATAAATATATTTAATATATAAACATAACATATTTTTCTTAAATATATACATGCATGTGTTTGTATTTATATGTACATAATAAATATATACAGTATACACACATATATTATGTAAACAAGAACTTTTATTTTGGATGTGATTAATCGCGATTAATTGTTTGACAGCACTCATTTTGATTAAGAATTTGTTTTTAAGTGCTCCTAAATCTTTACAGGATAAACCAGTCATCTGTCTAGCCAATCAGAATGGGTCACAAGCCGATTGTGATCTTGGAAATCCATTCAAAAAAGATGCTGAGGTGAATAATAATTTGTATTTTATGTTATTATAATAGAAAAGCTCTATTTCTGGTGTTTTGACTTTTATGTGAAAAAAAAAACAACACTTTTTCAGACAACTTTTTACATCATTCTGAACACGGGAGGAATTTCTTTGGATACAACTGAAATTGAAATTGACCTTAAACTCAAAACGTGAGTAGCAACATATCTCTTGTCAAAGGCACAGAGTATCAAGACTAGTTTAGTATTTTCTTTTGTTTTTATCATAGATTCATATTTCCATTTTTCTTTTTGCTAATTGCAGGACAAGTGATCAGAAGCAGTTACAAGCAATCAAAGCCAAAGCCATTGTTAAGATCCAGCTGCTGTTGTCCCTCTCAGGGTAGGTTATCATTTCTCATCTTCTGATGATTATAATATCAGTGTCCTTTATTTGTATATTCATGTACTGTCATCATGTACCATCTCCAGCATTGCTAAGCCATCTCAGGTCTACTTTACCGGAGAAGTTAAAGGAGAGAGCGCAATGAAGTTGGCAACTGATGTCGGCAGTCCAATTGACTATGAATTCAGGGTGACTATTAGATTTCCTTACATAAAACGTAACATTTTGTATATAAAGCATACATTTTGTACATTTACAATACCTGCTTTGGTTTGTTTAGAAAATATTTCATTTTTTGCATACAAACTATCTTACATGTCACAGTATTTAGAGGCGTTTCTTTTAAATGTATTGATTTACAGGTTACAAATTTGGGTAAACCCCTTCAATCATTCGGCAAGGCTTCTATGATTATCCAATGGCCTAAGCACAACTCTCAGGGCAAGTGGCTGCTGTACCTCATGAAGATGACCCCAACCGGTTTAGACAGCTTCAGCTGCTCCAATCAAGATGAGGTCAACAAACTCGGTTTGAAGGTAGTTCTAATATCTTAATCACAGTCAAAATTGTTGTTATTAAAACGTTGCATTCATGTTGAAATTAACTGATTATTTGTTCTGTCTTACGGTTATCTAGGAGCCTTCAGTGTCACGAACTAAACGTGAAATTGGGGAAACTCCTGCAAAAGAGGGAACAACCTCTCTCTTTACCGACAAGAGGAAATACACAGTTTTGGTAAAGTCAACCAAACATGAAGAATACAATGCATTCAGACTAATAGACTAATTTTTTACATCACTCTACACTAAAAACCTCAAAACGAGCAAATATTTTAAAAAGAAAAAAACTGAAATGTCACATTGCAAAACAATAATTAAAAGCATTTTAGCTTAAGGCTGCAAAAGTGAAGTATTTCTGAATGCCCTGTATGTGTGTCCTTGAGCTTATAGACAGCGTCCTGTGTCTAATCACTGTCTTCTTGTTGTGTTTTTAGTCGTGTGAGGATGGGGCGGAGTGTATAGCATTCAAATGCCCTCTTACGGGAATGGACAGCAATGCTGTCATCAGCCTGAGAGCTTACCTTTGGAACTCTACCTTCCTGGAGGTGAGTGTGGCAGTTCTTTTTTTTTTAATGGCATAATCTTTAATAATGTAAAGATAAAAAAACTGTGTTTTAACAAAACTGCTTCACTGCTTATTAATATAAGAAAAAAAAAGTTAGTGTGTCAAGGTAAAAATGTCATGTGGTAGGATTAAAAGTTCATGAAATCCACAAAAAATACTTTTTACTTTGCAAACTATATTTAAAAACCTTTTAATCATCATATGAGATGTGTTCAAGAGGAATTTTTTTTCTTCATATAATTGTTTTTGATGGTTACATCATATGAGGCATTACATTTTTCTTGTACATGACAACATATGAAACCAACATCAATACAGATAGAATATTTCTAATAATTTGGCAGAGGTGTTAAAATATATATATATTTTCCTTTTCTTTATCATGGACACTATAAACTATCAATGAACTATTTCTTACAGGACTATGCAAAATTTAACTACATTGATATTATCGTCAAGGCATCACTTGATTTAAAGACCTCAGCTACAAATATACAGCTGAAAAATGAACCAGCACTGGTGAGTACATTTTTATCCATACATACTTCCATATTTTGATCAATTTGTCTTCTCTATCAAACTGACTTCATATGGAGGTCTGAAAACTCATCTTGAGGTGATAAATGCATTTTGAAAGACAATTCGTCCTGTTACAGGCACGCGTTACCGTGTTTCCGGAGCGCAAAGTTGCGCAGTACGGCGGTATGCCCTGGTGGGTCATACTGGTGGCCATTTTACTCGGACTCCTTTTGCTGGGCCTTTTGGTCTTCTTGCTTTGGAAGGTAAGAGGATATGACTAAAACTCACAAACAAAGCCATTTAGCAAAGCCTAACCCTGTTTTTTACTGTCCGTTTTATTGAACACTGACAATTTGTAAAACAGATTTCCAACATTTTGTACAAGTCACATGACATCAAATACTTAAAACACAAACCTTTACCCCTTTTAGTGTGGTTTTTTCGGCAAAAGCGGCAAAGAACCTGAAAAAGAGAGGCTGACTTCAGATGCGTAAACAGAGAACCTCTCTCTTAGGGTAAAAGATCTCATGCACAGATCAAGTTGACCTGCGTGCTCAGAACTAGCATGAAGAGTTAGCCCATGCTAACCCACTTTAGCCTGAAGCACGTGCTGCCTGTCAGTGTCTAGATGTGGGTTAACGGTGGAAGTTTCCATGGCTTTCATTGCTCAGACATAAGCGAAATGCTATGAGGAATGCAAACTAATCATGCGTGAAGTTGTTGAGAAAGGGTTTATACATGTTTGCATTAACTCTTGTGACGGGGTATGACTGAATGTCTGAATCTCTAAAGCTCTTTTAAGCCTTTAGATGTGGCTTGATTTGGGAACTTGCGCATTTCTCTGGCCTGCTTGGGATCTCTCTCGCTTTCAGCGCATATGGTTCTTTCTACAGCCAGATTCTTGCTTATATCTTGTTTAAAACATTGAATGGTTCGTTCTTTCCTCATGCTAGGCATGCTGCACACACTGCAAACATCCCTGCATATTTGTTTTTTGCACATTTTCCTGTATAAAGATGCTGTTTAGCATTGTTAGCATTATCTTGCGCTAATTGTCTTTTTTTTCAAACAGTGTGGATTTTTCAAACGTTCCAAGTATGATGACAGCGTCCCTAGTTATAATGCTGTGCGGATAAAGAGGGAAGAGAGGGGAAAAGAGCCGGGGAAAGAGGAAATGGATCCTCCGGAGAAGAAGCAATGGATGACTTCTTGGAATGAAAATGAGAGCTACTCATAGCTAAATGCTAATCTGATTGAAATCAAACCAAAGACTCCCTTCCTAAGGCCTTTAATGCTTACTTTTGCACACGCTGAACTTTTCTTACTGTTACTATTCTATCAAAACATGAAAGGAAACATTTGAGCTTGATAGAGATTGTATTACAAAATGGTGTCTGGAAGACGTATGATGAACAAGGATAAAAAAAAAAAGTTTACTTGAGTTTTGTTTTAAATTACAATTTGCTTCCATGTTCCACCCCCATTTTCATATCACAGTTCACTTCTCATTCATACAGTAATGTATATACATTTAATGTATTTATTCTCAGCAGAGGTTTCTGTTGTACAAAGGCTTAATTGTTAAAACCAGTCAGGTACATATTTTATTTTCATAGGTGTTTTTTTTCACTGTACTTAAACTACTACAACTGGGACTGATTTTAGTAAGAACTACTTTGTTATAAACAGTTTGATATATTATCGTTTGACTGTCACAATCCATTGTAAGACCAGATTCTAAAGGTTTCTTTTAGTTTTTGAAGGTCATTTGAAAATATCTGTGTATAAATATGAAGTTGCTTTTATTTGTATTTTTCTAAAACAGCACCTTTTGGCAATGTGAATACTCAAATAATGAAAAGTATTCATTCTGTATTAATTTGTTAAATTGACACTGAAGTAATGAAACTGATTATTAGATATTTGGTATTCATTTTCCAAATAAAAGTTTTGCTGGACCTTAATTGATATAAGAGGTGCAATTTTTTTAAATACATTGTTTTGGTGGTTTACTTGAGTTTTGTTTTAAATTACAATTTGCTTCCATGTTCCACCCCCATTTTCATATCACAGATCACTTCTCATTCATACAGTAATGTATATACATTTAATGTATTTATTCTCAGCAGAGGTTTCTGTTGTACAAAGGCCAAAGATTTTTATTTTTTGTTTTGTTTTATGAATGGCTTGTGTGAGTCAGGACTGCTTGGTTCATATTTTTTCTTGATATCCAGCTAAAACAACATGGATGAATGGAAATATTTGTGTCTTTGGATTTTTTTCTATTTGTTGCTTAATTGTTAAAACCAGTCAGGTACATATTTTATTTTCATAGGTGTTTTTTTTCACTGTACTTAAACTACTACAACTGGGACTGATTTTAGTAAGAACTACTTTGTTATAAACAGTTTGATATATTATCGTTTGACTGTCACAATCCATTGTAAGACCAGATTCTAAAGGTTTCTTTTAGTTTTTGAAGGTCATTTGAAAATATCTGTGTATAAATATGAAGTTGCTTTTATTTGTATTTTTCTAAAACAGCACCTTTTGGCAATGTGAATACTCAAATAATGAAAAGTATTCATTCTGTATTAATTTGTTAAATTGACACTGAAGTAATGAAACTGATTATTAGATATTTGGTATTCATTTTCCAAATAAAAGTTTTGCTGGACCTTAATTGATATAAGAGGTGCAATTTTTTTAAATACATTGTTTTGGTGGTTTTGTCAGCTGTAAATCTGGATAATCTTTGAATATACCTTTAAAGACAGACAGCTATGAGATGGTGTTGTGGACAGAAACAAAAGAAATGTATAGAGGTCGACAATGTAATCAGACTAATTGATGGAATATAGAGACACATAATGGGTCTGATATAATAGATACCTGAACAGACTGTATACAGACAACTCAAGATACAGCTCCACAGCAGACAGTGGCTCTAAAACTTAGGCTGGAGACATGAGCGCAGGATTAGTGATTGGCATGACTGGCACAGGTGTAGTGTTGATAAACAGGCACAGACTTGTGTGCTAGACAGGCACAGAAACATGCAGGCCAATACTCATACTGAGGCATTCATCCAGACTTAGTGAATGCCCTCCAGACTGTCTTACCAAGTCACCAATACCACAAGCTCAAGCTAGTGAAACATGGTCTGCTTTTATCAGAAACTCAACGTTTTAATGTTTTTTTTTTCATAAAATAGTGACTCTATTAAATAAAATGTTGCGTTTTGTGCCTATTAGTGTATAAACATGCACAGTAAGTTAAAGTGAGACAGCAATCGTTATTTTAGTATTCAGAAGGGGGCCCACAAGCACTCCCTTTGCGGCCATTATGCACCCTTGATTCGCACTTCTCATGGACTTACCATTCCAGTATCTCACTCATTTTGGATTATCACTTTCTTTGGATTGTATATACACCGGTGGACACTTTTACATTGGAATTTACAGCATGCTGGATTTCTTAAAGACTGTTTTAATGGTATGAAATTGAAAGACTCTGTGCTTTTAACAGCCTAGGAGTTTTATTGTGTTGTTTTAAGTTCCTTGTGAATTTTGTAAATACACTATTTATTCATTCTACTTTTGTTGTTGTCTCACCTTTTTAAAACACTTATTTTAACTCACACAGTTTAATCTGACTCCATTTTAAATCCATGTAATTCGACCGATAAGGCCGATCGTTACAAGTTCAACATTGATTCAGTGATATCTTTGTTCAGCTCAGTTCAGAAAATTCCTTTGCTCATTCCTCTGCTTGTAAACAAGGCACAGCGCATGTGTTTTCTATGTCAGAAAGCTGGCTCCTGCATCAGCAGCACCACACGCATGCATCATGGTACTCTCGTGAATGACGGTGAAGACTGACAGAAGAGACAAATTGTTGTATAAAGTCTTTTTTTTGCTTCGGTTGAACCACTGATGTCACATGGACTATTTTAACAATGTCCTTACTACCTTTCTGGGCCTTGAGCGTTGCAGTTGCTTTGCTGTCTAGATGCAGGGCCGGAGAGCTCTCGGATTTCATCAAAAATATCTTAATTTGTGTTCTGAAGATGAACAAAGGTCTTATGGGTTTGGAACGACATGAAGGTGAGTAATTTATGACAGAATTTTCATTTTTGTCTGAACTATCCCTTTAAGATTTATGCATTTAGCAGATCCTTTTCGCCAAATTGACTTATAAAAGAAAATCAATCAGTTTGTCAATAACTTTTTATTCACTTATTCATTAATTTTGACAAAACAAAAAAAGAACATGTTTTGTTGAGATTTACTTTGCAGGCTAATGTAATTTCATATATAGTGGGTTTTAAACATTTGAATTATATATATTAAAAATCTTAAGAGGTGATAAATTTGGGTATTTACCAGCTACTATTTCTGGAAGGTGAAACATGTTGTTTCTCACATAAAACTACAGTATTGCATGGCTTCAGAAGGCTTGTAATATAGTGTGTGAGTCATAAACAGAGGTGTAAAAAGTACTCAAAAACTGTACTTTAATTTTTTTTTCTGACAGACATTGATTAAAGGGAGTAAACAAAACAAAATGCAATGGCACAGGTCAAACACGTATATCTAGTGCAACAAAAACAATTCAAATGCAGCACAGCGGAACACACAAAACAAAACAAGAATACAGGGAATGGGATTAAAAGGAAACTCCATCCTTTCCACCCTCATGCCATCCCATATATATATGACTTTCATATATATCTGATGAACACAAACGAAGAGTTTTAGAGAAAAAAAACATCTCTCTCCGTATAATGCAAGTGTACGGGACGTCCAAAAATGACACTTCAAAAACTGCACAAAGTGAATATGACAGTAACTCATACAACCCCTGTTGATGAATCAGTGTCTTCTTAAGCAAAACGTTAGACATGTGTAAGAAAAAAAAATACAAATACTAATATTTTAAACTTGACCGTCTTATTACACATTGTGTGGTTTATGAAGTGGTCCTGTCCCCTTGCATTATACGGACTAAAAATCTTTGCTTGTGTTCATCTGATGAAAGAAAGACATAAATATCTGGGACGAGAGTGAGTAAATGAATGATTTTTGGGTGAACTATCCCTTTGAAGAGCAAGATGTGATGCAGTGGCTAGAAACATATTCCAGACAGAATACAAGAATGTGTTGAATTAATGAGCTGAGTCATGGAATTAAAACATACAACATTCATGTTTTGAAAGGCCACTTTTTTGTGTTGTCTATTCAATGTCACTGTCTAAAAGGATAATTACACTTTTAATTGTTTATTTGGGGCATTTAGAGTTTTTTCTCAGCAAATATTGATAAGTAATTATTTGCGACTAATTAGATTATTAATGAGCAAATCATGTAATTATTAAGATGAAAAAATATTCATTGGCAGTCCTAATTGCTACTCAATGTGTCATATAAAGACATATTATAAATACAAAACATCATTAAACATGAATTACAATTAATTTAACATACAATGTTAATTTAAACACTTTTTTTTGGAGATTTGTAACATTTAATAAAAAAAAAACAATCACTCCCACAAAAATATTACTTGTATTTAAATTTTCATCACTGATTTTATTTGCATTCAATCTTGTGCATTCAGCCAATGTATTACACAGCTAACAGCTCTATCAAAACAGAAAGAATAACGAATAAACCTTTTTTGGGGGGAAAACAACTTTGCTACCTCAATATGCTTCCTCAGATTTGATAGTGAACTTTTGAAGCCAGACATTACCTGATGAAAGTCATAACTGCAGTCGAAATGTGTATGCTTGATTAATGAAAACAATGATCATTGGTTCTCACGTCAAGCACGCATGTTTGAGCTTCCGTTTACCATATTAAATGTGCATCAGATAAAATAAAAATGTAATGTACTTTTCAAGATGAAATAAAAAAGATGAGTTAAAGTAAAGTTTTTTTTTCTTCAGAAATGTAATCAAGTAAAAGTACAAGTAGTCAGTTTAAATCGTACTTGAATAAAGTACAAATCCCCCAAAATAATACTCAAGTACAGTAATCAAGCAAAATTAGTCAAGTATTTTACACCCCTGTTCATAAACTCCTTTTATGAGACTTTCATTGTGCTTTTTTGACCATTTTGGAGTTGGACATTTCATAAAATGCTTCCATTTTATAGAAAAGAGCAATGCAACCATTTTTCAGAACGCTTCCTTTTGGGTTCCCTTAAGAATGTACAAAAAATGTCATACAGGTTTTTTTTTATAAATTATTCCTTTAATACTTAGCCACTGACACACCCAACACAACTTGCAAAATAATGCGACCTGTGGCAACATCTTACCAACAGGGCGTAGAAAGACTATTGCAATCATTTGGGAAATTCCACATACCGTACACACAAAAATGACAACTGGAGAGCTGCTTCACTCACAACCACACCCATATACTCCACATGGATAACAGAATTTATTGCGTAAAGATCCTAACCCTAGGCAGGAAGCACAGGAGTGAACAGCCTGGATGTATTAAGAGGGGAGAAACCTGCTATCATGTGCCTCACTATACACAGATGGAAGAGCCTAAAAGTCGCATTTACTGTTGCCTGATGAAATTTCACAAGTGAAATCCAGTCATTTCAATAGAAATCCATGAGAAAAGTTCACACATTTTCTGCACATTGACCAACAGAAAGCTGTTTGGTTTGAAAGTGACTTTACTAATGTGACTGCACCTGTGCAGGCCTGAGCCACGCTATAATAGTGAAACACAACGACATGCGTGGTGAACCATCACCTCTCTTTCTCAAAGCTATGAGTATAATCTCATTCTTTCCATTCCTCCCTCATGACGCACACATTCCACGATACTCGCTCTCCTCTTCAAAACACCTCACAAACTAAAAGTTCAAGTTCAGGGCTGATCAAATATACACATATGACAACTGCTAACCGTTAACTACAGGAAAAGCTCATGCAGTGGTGACCCCACAGACTCTCACCTCGCAGGAGGAGAAGGTATGTGTGTACGAGCGCCCGAGGAGACGGGGCTCTTTGAGTAACCCCGCCAACACAGAGCGAGGACTACCTGCGATCGAATCATCCGTAACAGACAAGCTCTGTAATAAGTAGGACACGGGGACATACACATGTAAACATACACAAACAGACACATAAACAATTACTCACAAACGGTTTCACATATACAGTATTTACAGGATGGGATGCTAATAAGCATGCACTTTTAAAGCAGATAATGCTAATGGCTTAAGGGTCACTAAATGTGTAATATCAATGCAAATATCTAACGTTCCTCAACGTTCACGCTAAAAAAACCTTTTAAACAAGACAGAGTTTCAGTGTAATTGGGTCACTGACAAACAAGATAATGAAAACTTTAAAAAAAAAAACAGTTTATGTGCAAAAATCCCAGAAATGTATGTATGTAAATTTAAATGATATCAATGTTGTAAAAAGCACAAACAAAATCCCTTATACCTTGAATACATGTGAGTGTACACATCTTAATAATAAAAAAAGTTGAGAACCTTTGAGAGGGAGGGAGGAAGAGAGAGAAAGAAAGGTCATTGACTCAATTTCTAAATTACCCTAAACACATTTAATTCTTCAATTGATTCTTTTTTTTCCTCTTGAATGCTTGTTTGAACTAAATGTGGTGAATGGAGTGGTGACAAGTGGTGATATTACCTTCAGAGTCTGGAAAACTGTACCAGTGAAGAACAATTCCAGAAACCAAAACCAGTAGAAACACAAAACTACATTGTATTACTTGTAAGAGCTGGCAATGGAGCGTTATCACACACTACAACTACTATCATGCATCCCTATCATGTGTTAGTGAAACTAATGAATGTCTAAATCTGAATTAAGTCAAGTTATTAAAGTATTAAAACCATCAAAACTATCATTCCCTATAGGGTATGTTCTCAGACACAAAACTACGTCTAGTCACTAAATTAACACAGTTCATGGCAATGCTCCATTATGAAACAGGATTGGGCTTTATCAATGTGGGCCAAGGGGTATATTGTGAAAGAATGCATTTACTACAGTGGAACATTTCATCTTTCTACAAAGCCACACCAAAAACTAGTCCACTAAGGTTAGTAGCAACTGCTATACACCGAGAGTATTACTGTCCTCACACAAAAGATACATTAGCTGGAGTACCAACTGAATACTGTACCAAATCTAAGGAGTGAGAGAGAAGAGATGGCCAGGAGAAGTTGGTCTGTTTTAAAGAAGATTTTATAAACACACATTCTGCATAAGCAAAATGACATACAGTAGGGTCCAATGTGATGATCATCATGTCATTCAGCAAAATTCACGAATTTTCAAAAAGAAGTAAGAACATCTGACCTTTTGTACAAACGAGTACTACAATAGTGTAGACTCTTAAACATTTCCTATTCATTCGTTTTTTAACAAATTCCTAAAACTTTTGTTTATTGCCATCTTAAAATGAGATTTTAAATAGCAGATATTCAGTATGTTTCAGACTTTTAGTACAGTACAGCCTTCAGAATATGTCTAATTACAAAACTTCACTTCCTGTTAGGATCAAAGACTGAACACAACGAGACTGCTTAAATATGAACTTAAAATGACATCCAGGAATGCAACCAACTGCAACCTTGCAAACTGAATTCATTTTAAACGGCTTAAGCCTAATTAATGAATCACTTAAAAACACATGCATTAAATCACTAACATAACTTGTTAATTAATTTCTTTCTCTTATTCAAGACAAAAAAATAAAACATCTGGACCCGACTCACCTTGTTTGCACAATCCTCTATGTATGCCTCTGAAGGAGTATGAGGCAGACTGCCACTGGACGCAGAACGCTCTTTTTCTCGCTCTCTCTCTTTTTCCTTCTCTCTGTCCCCAAACCAGGAAAATGGCATGCAGGAAGGGATGGACGAGATGGAGCCAGAGGGGGAAACATTGCCGCTGGACTCATCCAGTAACTCTCCTGATCCCCTGAATTTGGACGACAAAGAACTCCTGCTAACTGATCTATATCAGAGAAGACCTGCACATTTTGAAATGATTTGAAATTATTTAACTTCAGCTAATGTAGTAGGTTAATATTAGGAGATCAAATATTCCCACCTGCTCCCTACAGATCCTCTCAGTGTGAGGCTCTCCCGTTTTTTGCCTTTGCCTCCGGATCTGCGGATACCACTACAGGGCAACACAAAAGAAAGCGGAAGAACAGTTTAAATTTTAGGCCTTATCTACTTGATTGGGGAAAGACAGATATCTGTCTGTCAAGACTACATTTTAATAATATATTCTACATTATATCATGCTTAATTATAAAATTATGCACTTGCATGTTTTAGGATTTAAACAACACCTAGGAATAAAAAGTGTGATAATTTAAGTTCTCCCTGTGTCCTTCCAAACTACGATGGCTTTCTTTATTTTATGGAAAACAAAAAGAACATATTTTGAAAAATAGTTTCATTGTTTTTTTCATATTCTGAAAGTCAATGGGGTCCAAAGCTTTCAAGCTCCAAAAAGGACATACAAGTAATGATAAATTAATCTATACAAAGTTTCCTCAAAAGACGACAGTCACTTTGTATAATGAACATATCAAAAAGCCTTGATCAAAGCATCAAAATGCATCAAATATGATAACACAAAGCTTAAATGTCAACTAAAGGCAAATTCTCACAGGACCGACAAATGCCAACAGACACTTTGTCAGGTTTTGTCTGATCAGACCACTGTTGGCATATGTTGAATATCTCGATTTTGCTGATTGAACATGCTAAATTGACTCTAGTCCAGTCGTGGAATGTCTAAGTAACGTACTGCAATCTGATTGTCCATGCTGATCAGCGTCTGTCGGTGCATTGATTCTTTATGCTTTACGATCTCTGAATTTACCATTCGAGTCATATGGATTTAATTATTTCTAGCCTTTGGAGAGCCTGAAAGTTTTGGTCCAATTAACTTTCATAATAATGGACAAAAACAGCTGAAACTTTCTTTAAAATATCTTCTACAGAAGAAAGAAAGCCATACAAATTTGAAATGACATGAGGGTGAATAAATGGTGAAAGAACTGGGTGAACTATTCCTTTAACTGAAAGGTGGGGCTTTCTGCAGTTTTGTGATTTGTCCCATTAATTTATTTTCTACAAGTGGTTCATCTCCTCCAATTGTAATGTCCTATTGTAATTTTGGCACACAAGAGGAAGTTGCTGGCCAGGCCATACCTGAAATCTGGGAATCGTCTTTTGGTCTTTCGTGTTGGTGAACCATCACTCTCTTCATCTGAAAAACAAAAGAACAATTCAATATCTTTTACATTTCCTCTTAGTCTTCAGGCTGATATTGAAGAGCCTAAGCAGATGACCAGTGAAAGCAGAAGATATAAATAAAAAATACTCTATGAAATCAGTTGTACCTCTGCTTGCTCTGCTCTTGCTGCGCTCCTTGCCTTTGCTCCTCCTGTTTCTCAGGTTGAGGAACAAACTAGAGGAGGACTGTGAGGAGGATGGGGACTGGGGAGTGGAGGAGTCTTTAGGTGGAGACAGGCTGGCTTGTGTGCTGTTGCTTCCATGGGGTGTTTGGCTCTGCATAAATACATCACCTCTGCCTTCACTTCTTGGTTCACGTGTTTGGTCGTGACCAAACTGTATGGAGGGAACAGGTATGGCTAGGCTCTCGAGGTAAGACCGCCTTCTTTCACTGTTTGTTCTTTCCTGTTTGTTGTCTTGTACGCACACAGATTCCTAAAAATGAGATAAAATTAAACTATGACTTCTTCAATCCAAATTGTTAGTCAAAACATACAGGATGAACGCCAATACATTAAACAGAGGCTGTGTGTAAATACAAATGAACACCCTGGAAGTTACAGAACAACTAACATCACTTACAGAACCTTAAGTTAGTGTAGCATTCAATCATACAGTGAAGACACATCACAAAACACCCATAAGAGCAGTAGAGTAAAATATATAAATATAAAACTTGATCCAATTTTCAAAGTGTTAAAGTCCGCATGTAACCAAAATGTACAATATTTATTTTGTTAGCGCACATTGCTAGTCTTAAGGTCAATAATTAATCCATGTTAAATTAATCCTCTGAAAAAAATAGTTTGTCTTGGTCAAATCTTTAATCAAAATCTGATAATTTGCTTCCGCTCTGGAATGGCATGGCTTCTCTGATGATGTCAGTGTGACAACTTGGGCAGAATATGCTTAACCACACCCCTCCAACTGTTAGTTTGCTGCGAGTGAGAGATGAGAGGAGGAGCACAAAAATAAAAACCCTGCCCTCTACTCAAAATTCTGTTTCAGTTGGAAATACGTCATCATACTGAAATCCAGTCGGCAGCAACTTCCGGTTCACGTAGACTTTAATATAAGCTTTTCTCAACACACCAATGAAAATCCAACAACTTAACTGAGTAATATGATTTTGCACATTTTGATGGAAACAAAAGTTTGTTTGGGCCTCTTCATATTTTCCCTCTGTAAAATACTAAACTATTTCAAAATAGTATGCGTTATGCTTGTCAGTAATTGACAATCTTAAAATGTCAAACCTGTTACTATAATTATGTATGGTACATGACTGAAAAATTTACTGTATTTGTAAAATTCTGCATTAAATTCTCCTTTTAAGAAGCTGCTTGTAGTCAAACTGGAAAACTTTTGTTTTGTATAATAAACCATAAACAAAAAAGAAAAAGAAAAAACAGGACAGATCACACTTTTTGAATGTTTGTGGTTCAACGCACCTGTGATTGGCTTGGTGCCTGTGAGCCTTTCGCGGACTCTCTGAGTTTACTTCGGGAGGGCCGCTTGCGCCGAGATCCCTGTGCCAGCTTGGCTTTGGCTCTGTATACACTGCAGTCCAGGCGAGCCGTCTGAGGAACATCTCCCCAGTCTGCATCTGAGGACAAACAGACATACACCAACATCTCAAAACCAGAAGAACCTACTTTAACAGATTAGACTGTTTCTGAACAAAATAATTATTAATACAAGAAGTTACAATCTGGCCAAACAAACTAGGGTAATATATTACAGCTAAACTATATATTTTATAAATCAAACTATATATTTGACCAGCTTTTATACTATATATTTGACCAGCTCTTCTGTACCAGAGTGAAGGTCATCTGTAGATAGTCCATTTCTTTCAGAGGAACCGGAGGTTGGACTGCTAGGTTGACTCTCTCCTGCCGGGCTGCAAGACTCTTCTGGCTGGTCTGATCCAGTACAGCCCTCCAGACAAGCTATCTGAGAAATGCAGAGAGGTATTATGTGCATATAGAGTCACAAGACTCTATCCTGTTATCTTTGTTTCTATGATGACTAAATGTTATGTATTTGGCAGATGCTTTTATCCAAAGCAACATACATTGCATTCAAGTTACACTTTTTTTTTCAGATTACAGCTTTTGCTTTTTTCCTGGGATTTGAACCCATAACTTTGGCATTGCTAGTGCCATACTAGGATAAGCATAAGGTAGAAAAGGCTCTATATTTTTCTGCTACGATTTCGCATGGATAACTAATATATGTTCAATTAATCTGTTTAATAGCTTAATCATTACGTGCAACACCAACTAACAGTCACAACAAACCCTAACCATAAAGGTCACAACAAATGAATCATCAAGACGAATGTTTAGAGTGAAAATTCAGTGTGATAAATATGCAGCTGCTGATCTTTGCTAATGAGGTCTTCTAATATCTTCGAATAAAGCTACCCAACCAATAACATCGATGCTTTTGGTCATAAGACCAGAGCTGCTGCTGTATTTTGTTAAGCAAAAGTGAGCTTGTCCCAATACGCACCCTTGCGGTCTCACACAACAGAAAGTAAGTGCACAAGACTGTCCCAGGTCTGAAAAATGCCAAAGCTCGGCACACACTAAAGCCACACAATCTCTAATACTAGGATAGAACCAGAAAATAGCAGAGGAAGAATCCAAAATCAGCTCTCTTGCCTCTGTACTCTTATATTTGGTGTTGTTAGCTAAAAACCAGAGGGATTACAAAAATATCAAAAGCCGTTTGAAAACATATAAATACTTTTTTACTTAATTTCTGTGACAAGTGGGTGTCAGAAACGGAAAGTTGCATAGAGTTCTGTGTACTGTAGTAACCGGTGTATTTCTGCTTTTCTAAAAGTGCTACCTAATGTCTGAAAAGACAAATCACATGCGAAAATCTGACCAAATTTTTGTGCCGACCACTCTGGAAGTTGCAGAACAGGTAACTTAAACATTTGTAGCACATTCAATCATTCACCCAGTGAAGCCACATAGCAAAATATTAACAAGACCAGAAAGATGTTCATAATTGTAATCTCACTTCGTTCGAAATGAGAGATTAACACGAACAGGCTGCAGTTTTACCTTATGTTGTAACTGCCTGACAGTGCTCTTGTATTCTCTCTCCCTTTGCTCCAGTTTTCTCGTCAGCTCCACCTCTTTCCTTGCATATTCAGCTTTTCTACAAGTCAAGAACAGCCCCACCATTAACAAAACATGACAATTCACTTCTCTTCTTTTTCTCAATTCTCTTGTCTCATGTATTTCTCTATGGAGCATTAGAATTTCTAATAATTCACCTTGATACAGGCTTTCACAAATCAGTACATTTCCAAGAACGCCTGACCAAACTTCCCAGAAAGATTCTGCTATGACAACACATTACATGCTCAAACACACCTCTGTTCATGCTCCTGTAGAAGCATCATGCTCTTATTGTATTTAAGCTTTAGGGAATCATGTTGACTCTGGGCTTCATTAAAACGCTGGTTGATGGCTTTACAGAGGGCTTGAGCATCAAGCCAGTATTTTTCCAACTTTTCAATGCGCTCCTTGCTCTCTTCCACATTCCTTTCAAGAGCTGCACCTCGAGTCTCCCAAGACTTACGTTCGGCTTCGCTCACTTGCAGCTTTAAAATTGCAAACACACAAAAAATTAAATAACTCAGCAGGTAAGATAAGATACTAAATAAGAAATTAGCATTTTTATAAGCATCCTACCTTCTCTCTCAACTGATTGAGTTCTGCTACTGTGACACTGTGTTTTATCTGCAGCTATAAAAGATAATTAAAGTGAGAAAGAAAGCATTTCACAATGATGAATAAGTTACAGTATGTTGAAATTCACATTATACCTCTTTGAATTTTTGTTCTAGCTCAGTAGGATCGATATCTTCAGGTAGATCAATGCCTTGGCTTCTCAGTTGTGAAAACACTTCTTGTGTCAAGTCATTTGATGCATCCTCCGCCCCCTGCTTCTTTTCGGTCTCTCTCTGTTTATCCTGTATCAGTCATAATATGGGCCCAACAATGATTAGTGACTCAATTACTCATGACATCAAACTTATCTTTACATGTTCACATACCGGTTGCACAACACTCTTTTCAGCCAGTGGTTCAATTTCCTGTTGATCATGATATTGGTCATGGATTTGAGAAATCTGTTTTTGATCCTGTAGCTGATGGTTTTTGGGTTTATGGGGGTCTTTATCTTTTGGCTCCTGGTTTTCAGGGCTTGTCTCGTGTTGTAGAGTCTCATTGATCAGACGGGCCACTTCGCTCTCCACTCCTGGTTTCTCCCGGCCAATGAGAAACCTGCATTGGAGGACATAAAATTCCTTCACACAGTTCTAGGACTATGACCGTTTCTGGTATTATACTGACTATGAGATTAGATTTGCCCTGGTGAATCATTACCAGACATTTCCTCCTTAATATGTGATGCATGTTCATAACTTACATAATACAGGGGAAATCCCTTTAGAGCAACGTGGAGTGAGCTGCTTTGATCAAGAACACAATGGTGTGAGCTCACAGCTTGTTCCTGGTGGGGCTTGAACCCACAACCTTAGTGAACTTTAGCTAAAACTGCAAACAGGTCACTTTATGTTCAGCTTGGTGTGTCGATACTCACTTGACCAGACCTTTGGTGTTCTTCAATGTAGTAGCAGCAAAGAGTTGAGTGACACCAACCAGACTGATTCCATCTACCTCCACAATCTGATCATTTACCCGAATTCTGTTAAGACAAAACACTAATGCTTGTTTTATTCGAAAGCTGAATAGCCATAATCTGTTACTCACATTGTTTGCTATCACACAAAGAAGGTTTTATTCTGGATTGCATAAGTCCAAGTATTGATACTCACTTGACCAGACCTTTGGTGTTCTTCAATGTAGTAGCAGCAAAGAGTTGAGTGACACCAACCAGACTGATTCCATCTACCTCCACAATCTGATCATTTACCCGAATTCTGTTAAGACAAAACACTAATGCTTGTTTTATTCGAAAGCTGAATAGCCATAATCTGTTACTCACATTGTTCGCTATCACACAAAGAAGGTTTTATTCTGGATTGCATAAGTCCAAGTCAAAAGACAAGTTCTTACCGTCCATCCCGGTGAGCTGCGCCTCCTTCGGTGATGGTCTTCACAAAAATCCCCAGCTTCTCCAGTCCTTGATCTGCTCCAACTCCCATACCAATTATACTGATTCCCAGGCCATCGTTTCCTACACAACAAAACAGGCACCTCAAATACAGTAATTCTACAATTAATTGACTTTCTCAAGAATTTCATACCAGGGAAAATAAATTTTGTGATAAATGTTTAAAAGAAACCTTTCTGAATATCTATAGGTAAAACAACCATGTTTTCCACCCTCTTTTCCAGCTCGTACTCAGCAGATGCAGACACAGGGTCCACATCATCATTTCTGCGATCATAATCCTCATTAGAGAAGGTAAAGTACACCTGAAGAAGAGGAAATACATTAAATAACACACCTGTGCACACCCACACAAAGGCTATCACCTTGCATAGCTGAATCTGTGATTTATTGAATTTACAATTAATGTTGATGTAAAATAATGTTCTGATAAGACAAAGTCCACCCAGATCATTTCTGAATAAATGAGTCATTCAGACTCATTCAAATCTTATAGTTTATTACTGCCCACATTTACATGTTAACACCTACTCAGTATTTAGCAACTTGACACATCCTGATGAATAAGGACTCAGGCATTCAAGCTCAAAACATACATTAAGACTCCATAAAAGTTGTCTATATGACTTCCAACTGTATTCCAAGTCTTCTGAAGAGATACAATTGCTTTGCGTGAGGAACAGACTGAAATTTAAGTTATTACTCCTTGATTTTTTTTCCAGTGAGCTGTTAACAGCTGAGAATGGATTATTCATTCATTAAGCTGAACTCAAGAAATCAGACACCGCTATTTCTCTCAACAACATGCCAAGAAGAGTTAGGAAAGATGTCAAGATTTTTCTGTAAATAATGAATTCAATTTTGGCTGGTTCCACACATAATGCATGAACACTTGGAAAACAGCACAGCAGTCATATAGACTACTTTTATATGTTTTTTGCAACCCTTTTAAAGCTTGAAAGCGCCAGTATCTAGACTATTCTTTGAATCACAAGAAAAAAGAGTGACCAATACAATTCTTCATTCCACACAACGCTACAAATGTGCAAAAATAATTAATTTCCAGTATTAAAAAGTACTTGTGAAATTTTACTGGCAAAGAAAGTCCATTGTCAATATGCATGAAGCACAGTTTTATATTGCTAAAATGGTGAATTTGCATGTTCAAAGTTTAACTTAGGCCTAATTGTTTTCTGATGCAGATACCTATTGAGATGCTGCATTTCACCTGCAGAATTTCGCCATACAAAGGTAAAAGTGGCCGCACCCTAATGAAGGTGCTAGCTAAATTACATGCCCACAGCATTTTGTCATTGGCTTACTTAGGCTGACACAGGCAGTTAAAAAGCAGGTCAGTCAAATAGTATGCATTCCTAATACTGGCACCAGACTTGGACTGAGTACAGCAGTAGAACTAAACAGAAGGGAAACACTGCCTCAAAATCAATTAGACATGGCAAAGTAACAGTATTTCCCCTTTATTTGTCTTAAACCATTTTACTTTTGCTTTCTCCATCCATACTGCCCCTTCATCTTTTTTCTCCACTACAATCCTATTTTTCCTTCCCTTCATTTATTCTCTCTCCGCTTTCATTTGTCTAGCGACTCTAGTTGTCATGGAGTAAGCGTGCACCTCTGAACAATGTCCTTTTCTTCCCAAACATGCTCAAGCACAGTGTCTCTTTCTATCTTGCTCCCTCCCTCTCTCACTCTTTTAAGCCGTGGCTTTTTAGCAAGAACACAGGACTATTTCTTCCTGGGGCTGAGAGAGTCTGTCAGTGAACTAAGACTTACAATAAGGAAAAAACAACAGATGTCATAGCCTTCAGGTCGAGCGTCAAACCTGAATCCCACAGTTCGAATTGCATAAAAGCGCCATGACCAAGAAATATTAAGATAATGAAATCTAACATGTTCCAGTAAAGAAATGTCCTTTGGCAGCATTAAAACAAACTTCGTTGTTAACAAGTTGGTGTGCAATAAGAACAAGTCAGCAAAAATAATTGAGAAATCCTGGCCTTTAATAATTTAATGGGATTTAAAACTTAAAATTTAAATGGAATTAATGGAAACCAACGGTTCTGGTGACCACTGACTTCTACTGCATGGACAAAAAGAGTTCTTAAAATATCATATTTTGTGTTCCACTGAATACAGTAAATCATACAGGTTTGGAATGAGGGTAAGTAAATGGCAGAATTTTCTTTTTTGAAGGGTGATTTAAAAAAAACGCATTTTTGGGTTAAAGATGGATTTTGAAGACACCATATTTTGTCAAGTAGAGAAAAAACACTTAATGAGCTAATATTCAAAACCCATTGTCTCATCAAAGATCAAAAGATGTCCAACACAAACATCTGTTGAAAGGAAATCCTCATTCACAACCTATATGAGACAGGCAACTCACTTCCTGCTGATCCTATATATGGAAAACAGAATGACACAAGACACAAGAGTAAACACAAGAGCTCCACAAATACAGAAACAGGCACATCCTGAGGGCTGAGTAAACAAAAATGTAGAAACGAAACATGTAGGAACACTATAATATGTTTACAAAGGAAGACCCAAGCTTCCTGATTTAGAGAGAAAATGCATCATAGTGTAAGACAAATGTTAGTTACCTCCCGCTCATCCCATTTCTATAAATACACAGCAAACAAACTGACACTGACCTACTCTACACGCTCGAGGAGGACACACCAAGGAGGAAGGGATGTTGGGGAGAGTGACACATTAAACACTGAGCTATGATATTCTGATTTGGTGTGTGTTCTGACCCAGACTATAAATCCATGGCGTCTTCAGTCTGCCAGGCTCTGAAGAAATACATGACCTGGTTTCCAAACTTAAGAGATCTTTTAAGAGTGCTGAGAACAACTGCAAGGTCCACAGGGAATGAAACACCCTTACACACAAAAACACATACAGCCTCTAGTTATTGACTGGTTTTGGGCAGTCAAAACAGTTGACTTGTGCCACCTACTGTAACACACTTAATATGTCTTTCTTTATTTCTTTTGATCAATGGTTTAGTATATTAGATTTATACTCTGATTAATATGCAAATGCAAGAGCTTCCACAGCATTGAATTGGTACAGACAGATGATGAGATGATTTATATTCATATCCAATCACACAGAAAAAGACAGAACACCTTTCCTTCCCTTAACAGGATCATTTTAAACACTCCACGTTCAAGAGGTCCCAAAGTCAGACACACACGAATGACAGCACAATGCACTTTCTGTTTGATGACAGATGAAGTAAGATCAAAGAGTTGTGTGTTTTGCTTTGATCTGTTATACAGTATGACTCAAATTTGAAAAGCTGTACTGACTAGCATTAGTCTCCTGTAGCCAAAGACAAGTAAAATAACCAATCACAGTTTGTTTTGTATTTATTCGTTTTTTGGGGCAGTTTTATGGTAACAAATACACATGAGAAAACACTAATAAATCAAATAAATAAATAATTAAATAATTTAGAAGAACACAATAAATTTGCAAATATATATGACTTTGTGTTTAAGATTTACACAAAAATGTATCTCCAAAAGTAATGAAAAAAATGTATTCACAGACATATACAAATACTAATGTTGATATCTGGTTTACTTGCTATCAAAGTAAAAAAAAAAAAAGGTGCAAAAAGCATTTATCACAGTTAAGTATTAAAAATATATCTGCAAATGGCATAATAAAACCTGTTTTCCCTGTGTCTCCCTGAATGAATGAAAGAATGAATGAATGAAGCATTTACATAGTGCTTTTAGATACTAATGTATACTCAAAGCGCATTACAATGGGTTTAGGGGTCTCTCCTCAACCACCAGCATCCACCTAGATGGTGTGACGGTAGTCAATATGCTCTAACAGCTATAGGTGGAGAGAAGAATGTAAAGTGATCGAGTTAATTCAACAGGCAAAACTGATAAGGGCCAAGGAGTCCGTTTGGCAAGGACACCAGAGTTCCATACACTTCACGAGAAGTATTTATTTTCTTACTCTATTGGCTGCTATTTTTCCACATTTTAAGCATAAACTCACTTAACATGGAGACATTTAAAAAAAAAAAAGATTTATCTTACATTATTTGGGTTTTCAAGTAAACATCTCTTTATTTACGAATGCTTAGTTATTTGTACTGGAAAACAAGATAAAAAATACTGATGTGCCAGAGATTTTATACCACTAACCTGGTAAACTTGGGCAAATCCAGTGATTAGTTCATTAGTTCTTAAAAGCGGTCACTGTATCAAGCAATGAATTGGGTTAGAAACCCAGTTTTTGTCAATTTTTGTATAGTGCTTGTATAGTACAATTAGTTGTATGCTAGCCGATTAAATTGACGCAACAATCAGTTTCTATAAATAGTTTTAGTGAGACTTGAGTGATGGCTTTAACATAAATGTTCTATTTCAGAAAATATTGTTTATCTTTTACATGAAATTTCAAATTGTGAGAGTCATATTAGCTGAGACCAGAGGGGTAAAGCCCTAAGATATGGAACTAAATGAATGACACATATAAAAAAAACCTGTCAGAACATGAGACATAGGATATTACATGCCTGAAGTAACGCAAGCTCAGACAGCACCTTGGTTGAGAGCTGTTATCTTAAATATTCTTGGTAGAAGGTATTTTACACTGTAGCAGGAACCCTGACAAAGTCACAATTCGTAAGAATCAATAAAACTGTGAAACAAGTCTCAGACAAGTATGTTTTCCTCACACTAAAAGAAAAGTTTGTTTGTGTTTTTTGGGGCAAAACAAATACAGGACATGGGTGCCAAATACCTTAAAGCAAGTAGGATCTTGTCATATAAACATGAATAATAGCTGCGATAGTACATGCTTTGTGAAAGTAAGAACTGAGGTGCTGACCGAATTGAGCCACGGGCATCTGCTAAAGGTGCAAACACAGATTTGGGTCACTGGCGGCAGGCTAATTCCTTCAGGCTCAAATGAAAACCTTCTAAACCCTTTCAGAGGGACCAACAAATAAATGCTGAAGCTGAATAAAAAATACATTGAAGTACTAAATATAAATATAGAGTTTCTTCTAAACAAAGTAAGATTGGGTGAGACATACCTTGATTGGTGCTGTAGAGAACTTGATCTTTCTCTTTGGAGTGAGGTCTTCCTCATCAGAGAGTCCTGGAAGTTCCTCAAATTCCTCCTTCACTTGACATTCCAAATCGGTCCTGTTGTCCTTGTCATCAACAAAGGCAGCATTCTCAATTCCACAAATTAAAGATCTCTTCCCAATTGATCCCTGACCATCTTGCTCTTTTCCTGTTAAGACATCTTCCATCTCTCGCTCATCATCGTCCTCCTCTAAAGCTTCAACAGCTTCCTCTACTCCCTCATCCTCTTCCTCGTCCTCTCCTTCTCTCTGTTCATCCTGCTGTTCCTTATCGTCAACATTGCTAGCTCTCTGCTCACTCTCCCTCATAACAGTCTCCAGTACTGCCTCCTCTTCAGTTCGGCCTGTCTTTAGTTCTATTTCCTCATTGTCTTTTTTCTCCTCCTCCTCGTCTTCCTTATCCATTATGTTCTCCTCAAGAAACTTTCCCTCCCCTCTATAGTCTTCCTCTCTTCCAGTCTGTACAGATTCCTCACACGCCCTCCATTCCTCCTCATGTTCCCTAATGCTCTGTTTTGATTCCTTCCCAAGGAATGTTAATTGGAGCTCTTCGCTGCTGGTCAACACCCTCTCAGAATTGCGATTTGGGGATTGGTTCTCCTTGCCAGCCTCTTCAAAAACATCATCCTCAACATGTTCCTCCTCATTGCCCTCGCTTTCAGATGATTCGGTCTTCACCACCACCAGCTCAGCTCTGACCGTGGACAAACCAGGAACCTTCTCACTATTCTTGCCTTCACCTTGCTTCTCTTGAAGTGCAGGATCCTCAGCTACAGATGCTTGACTAGTGCTACTCCTTGCAGACAAGTGGTGGATCTTTTCGCTTGTATACACAAGAGTGGGTTCTGATGAGACTGTATCTTCTGAGGACTTAATATGTTCTTCAGCTGTGGAACTAGTGTTATGTAATGTCTTCGTACAGACTCCATTCAAAGGGGTACCATGTGAATCTGAACCATTTAACTTGGGCAAACATGTTTCAGTAGGAGAATCAGCCCATAGTGAATAAGAGGTAGGGGAACTACAACTGTCTGGTGATGAAGGGGGATCCGAATGGTCGCTAGCAGCGGAAAGTGACTGGGAATGACTAATGGGACTATGGGATTCTGTGGAAGGAGCAGCTGACAGGGACTCACTATCACTGTCCAACATAAAACTCTCCAGACGTCTGGATATTGGCCCGGCATTCATTGACACACTCAGCTTATGTGGTGGTGTCTCACTTTCGCTTCTTCCCTTTTCCTTGTCCTCCCTTTCTTTTGCCTGTTTCTTTAGCTCTTTAGGTTTGTAGTTTCTCTCTCCAGTAACTGACACTTTCCTGTCTTGTCTCTCCACTAGCTGAGGCCAGATAACTTTTGGAGAGCAAGATCTCTCTGTTGGAGACTGCTCTTTAAGGCCACTCTCAAACAGCTTCCTGGTCATTGAGAACTTCTCAGCCAGTGCTGCCTTGTCAATGGAAACATCCTCTGTTTTCCGTGCCTCAAAGGAGGCTGAATCTAGACTGGTAACACTACTCAGACTGGACCTGTAAGGGGTAGAATCCAGTGGAAATTTGGGTGACGTGGGTTTGCTGATATTGGGACTGTCTTGACTCTGCTTTTCATCCATTTGCAAGAATATATTTTTTATTTTGCTCACTTTGTTGCCCGAAGGTCTGCCTCGGGAGTCACTGCCTCCGTTGGAGAAGGGTGAAGTCGAGCTAATTGATACACTTCCATCAAATGAGCATTTGATGGAATGGAAGTCTGATTTATAAGCATTCCTGTGTGGAGATGCACTTCTCAGTGCCCGTTCACTTTTTTTTTCACTTTTAATCATGATCACAGGTGAAAAGAATAGATTTGAAGGTCTCAGTAAGTAAAACAGATAAAACTGGAACTAAAAAAGCAGCATATATCCAGGAGCATGGTACGTCCTCATTCACACTGGTTGAGATCGCAGATACAGACGGTGCCGAATGACTGACGGAGTGCCTACCGCTCTTACCTACAGGAATGAGAAATGAAGAAACCTGTCAGTCTGTAATTCACAGCAACTATTTATCCCTCAACACTCTTTTGCACTGTAAATGCACACACACACACACACACACACAAACATATATATATATGTGTGTGTGTGTGTGTTACATTTAACTGTAAAAATGCCAGAAACTATAAAATATCCCATTATTAATGATCTAATAAAATATTTTGTTATTTTGAAATGTATTGCCAGCACAGATGGACAATGCAAGGCCTCTCCAGCAATTTTGCCCTTTAATAACAAGACAGAGGACACTGTTATCCACACAAACACCACCAGGGTAAACATGACGCCACAATAATATTAACATTGGATAAATAATATGAAATATAACAGAAACACACTATGTAGTATAACAATAAGAAACTTATAAGAAGTAATAAATAATATATTTTTAAAAATAAAATCCAAACAAACGTAGGTTAATGGTTCATGCAAGGAATTATTGATAATTGCTTATTACTGATAATTCCCTATTACTCATAAATTAGCAAGACATTCATACATTTAAATAAACTTTTTTGTGTGTGTAAATATTCGTCCTTAAATTGTGCATACTGCTTTTTATTATACAATTACATCTTGCAGTAATATTTGCCTTACCGTTAACCAATTGACAGGTCTATATTCTAGCATAGTCCTACATTACTTTTGAAATGTGCATTTTTTACAGGTAGCAGGTGCTCAAGTACATCGTATGTCCACATTTACACCCCTTCTTTTTGACAGTCGATATTTTCCCATTGATTGCTGTAACCGACTTCAATCCTAATGAAGCCTGACTAGTTGAAGTTTCTGTGAGGAAGTTTTTCTTTCCATTTTCGAAAACAACAAGGCCGGATAAACGAGTATAAACCTACCTGAACTTCTATCATTGCGACTTACGGAAGATGTGAGAAACCATGACCAAACAATCACAGACTTGCTAGACTTTTCGTCGTCGTTCCTTTCTCCGAAGTCTACATGTCTTTCTCTTTGAATGTAACCAGCTCAACAAACCTTATCCCCGCATGCGCCCTCCTCCTTCAGCGTCATACCCGCTGCTTCTTTCCGGAGCTCGCGAGTCAGGCAAGCGGGCGCACAAAGGGACAGAGGGGGGAAAAAAAGACTTGGACAACCGTGGGAAAGTCAGTAATCTCTTCCATAAAGTAACAGCTAAATTCAGAGAAGGACTAGGGGCTAATGTAGCCTTTTAAAGACATTACGTAGTCCTATTTGAAGTCTAAACACAGTTTTACTCTTTTTTGGATCTAAAATATTAACTAGCCTAACTATAGATAAATAAATAAATTTGGTATCTCAAATCATCCATGCAATGAAACAGTTACAATGTTCCATACACCAGCATTTTGGGCCACATAGATGCCATATCTGAGTTTAATCTCCCTGACAATTACAAGTAGGTCACCATCTTAGTGCTTCTGAGATGAGTGGAGTGGAGCACAGGACAAAAAGAAAAGAAAAGCAGCTGAAAGTAAAGGAGCAATGCATGCAGATAAATGTCATTAACAAACAAATCTGAGCATAATGCAAGAGAACGGAGAACAAGGCAAAAGCACTGTTCACTACTGACACTGTAAACTGCCAATATCATAATGATTTATGATAAACCATTTTGGTCTAGACATTTTGTCTCCTTCTGTTTGTCTTGGTGTGGACTGTGTTCCATTGTAAATTTCAGTGTAATGTGTGTCCATATGAAGCCTCTAACAGATGGCATTTTGTAGCTCCATATTGAAAGTAGATTATCTCTGCTGAGCCGCTGGTCAGAGTGACAATCAGCATAACCGAAGCATACAGTTCCATTTAAAACTGATTGACTGATGTATAATAAAAATATATTCCAGCAACTGCAGGGTATACTTGTGTTTTTCACTAAGCAATCGTAATTAAATGCTCTGTGAGATTGTGCTGCAGGTCTGAATAGCTTACACTGTTTTGCCATGTTCCTCTGACAGTTTTCTAATTAGATGTGTCACGAGGTTCATTCTTAGAGATCTCTTTTGTGCCACTTATAATCAGCATCAATGAGAAAACTATCTAAGCCCACAGTTAAATAAAATGCATTCCTTTAAAAAAGAACGAGTTTTGGCAGGTATAAAAAGCAGACACACTTACCCTATCTTTGATATTCCTTTTCCAATTAAAAAAAAAAACCTTAACATGTAAATCCAGATTTGATGAATGAAACTGCTCAAGCTGCTAGTCCTGTTTCACTATGTCATTAACTGTGTTTTGTTTCTGTTTGTGGAAAGTTGTGATATGACACATCATTGTCGAAGTCCTTTTTTGCTCGTCCCGGGTTTGTTACATGGCCTGAATTTGGTGCTGTTTTCCCCAGGTGGCCTCAGGACCTAGATTCATAAAAATATCACCCAATCATAGAGGCAGCAAGGATGAGAGAATACGAGAGAGATTCGAGAAAATTAGCTAGAAGTGGAATGCAATATAGTTCATGCATTTATATAGAAATGATTAACTGTTGCATGTATATTCACAATAAAATAATCTTGTTTGAAGCAAATTACAGATGGTAAAATAAAACACTCATGCACAGAGCCAGAGTGACTCAATTTAATTCAGGGAGACTTTATGTTTTGGCGAAAATAAGATTGAAATATTTCTGGGAAAAAAAGACACTTAGCACTCATTAAAACATAAATTTGTTATTTTATTTCTTTATTTTTTCAACAGTGAAGCGTTGCTTATTGTAGGCTACTTGCGAGCATATGTCAATGGCTGTAAGAGTTTCTCTGACCTCATTATGGATATAAATAAACTCTGGTTTTGGACTGAAATTTCAGCAGGAATTCGTTTATAAACCTTCCCGGTCTAACACTTGGCTTTATCTCTGTATAGAAAACCAGCCCACACAATGAAATCTCAAAATATTTGCAATAGATATGCTATGGGGGTGTTTGATAATGAATACATTGAGATATCATTTATAATTAACCATGGAATCTCACATTTCCATACTCTCAGCTCATGGATCAGATATTTATAAAGGACTTTATATAGCATACAGAGATCTGAGAGGTGATGGCTCTACAGAGACACAGATGGTGATCTATTTACAACTTTTAATCTGGAACTTAAAGTTTCCCACGTGTTTTGGACTGCTACACTTTGTTCATAATTAATCATGCACATAACACTGATAACAATGAAGACTCCTACTTAAACCTAAATTTAGTCTTTTATTTATAAAACACTAACTTGTAGAATGATATCTTAGAAAGTTTTAGAAAACCAAGACAAAATATCAGAAATGAGACCAGGGTTGCTCAGCCAAAACATAAATGAGATTTTATAGTGTGAGCTAAACGTGGGGGAAAATGTGTATATTTTATTTATACAACTGATACAGTTTTAGAATAGTAACATACTGTATGTGTTTACAAAGAGACTTAATTGTGTTGTAAAAGCTCTTTGACTCAGAAAAGTACATTGGGAATCTCCATTTAGATTGTAAAGTTCATCTGAGCTTATTGCTTTTGACCCCTGTCAATTTTTAAGGCCCAAGCCAGAGGCATGTTCACAGATGAAGGCTTGATAAAACAGTTTTTCATCTCAGGCTGACATGCAGGGCTCTTGGAAAGTTACTGGCAGGTACAGTGGGATTCCATTTGTGAATTATATTATTTACTGGCTCAAGTCACCTCATGTAATAACAACTGAGAAGATGATTAAACAGGCTGTAATAATGATAACCGCACCATCACCCATCAAACAATGAGTGTACCTATTTACATAGTTACACCACAGGCTTTGGCTTATGGTTGTCTTTATTGTCATATAATTCTTGTATAGCCAAAGTATAGCTGCAAGCATGGGCAACTGTAGGCCCTAGATGAGTTCAGGCCCTTATGAATACGGTTTTGCAACTCAGAGGAATGTGTTTTGCTTTTAGGTTGTGAGTTTAAAACTTATATGATTTTTTTTTTCTAATTCAACTTTATTTTGTGATTTCAGTGACTAAAGGAAAGACATGGTCTTGTTGTCAGTTTAAATGTTCCAACATATAAATCACTGATCAAGGACGTTTGAGAAAGAATATGTCCACATAGTGTAACGTTATTAAGAGATAATCAAATGATTTTAACTTCACAACGAAATTAAATTCATGTCTAAATTCATGTCACTTCTTACCAATTCAATATGATTTTTTCTTAAATAAATAAACAAACAAACAAACAAACAAACGCTTTGGACAGATGAAACATCTGCCATAAAGCACCTGTAATGTCAGACATCTTCAGAGTAAGATTATGAACATGGGTCTCAAGATTCTGTCAGTATGTGGATATGGGATTTTTAACATTAAAATGAAGTTATTTCAGCTATTATATCAAATATTGTGATATTTACCATGATTATATCTCCTCATTAAATAAATAAACTTTAGATTTTTTTATTAGTGCCAAAAAGTAGTGGACATGACATCAAAACAGGAGCATTTGCAATTTGTGTAAAAAATAGATCACTCTCATACAATAAATATTTAAATAGTTTATGATTATTATTATGTTTTATTACTTAATATTTTTGTTTTTAATTTATATTAATAATTACTATTTATGATTGATTTTAAGATTGAAAGTCTGGAGATGGGACAAAAATAAACGATAATTTCCATAATTATAGGGATAGTCAGCGCCGTCCCAAGCTGATGCAGGGCCCGGTGCGAGGTCCGTTCCGTCCGTCAGCCATTGACTTCCATTGATTCATATTATGGAAGTCATTGGCTACCATCAACTGTTTGGTTACCAACATTTTCATACTCAGCAGAAGAAAGAATCTCATACAGGTTTGGAACAACTTGTGAGTGAGTAAATAAAGACAGAATTGCTGTCATAACTGTCTCTTTAAAAGACATTCTGAAACAAAACATATGATGGAGACCTGGTAAAATGTTTCTAAAACTATTTTAATATGACCTTCAAGTAATAAAAAAATGGAAGAAACACCCATACAGAAGTCATCACACATCTAAAAGTAAAATACTCCAGATATGGTTATGTAGGCTACATTTCTTATTCGACAGCTTCCTCTAGTGGAACAGATAGAAACATCCTCCGACACGACGACGACAGCGGCACCCAGGCAAGCAAGCACTATCTGATTCAACGCCGCGACTCTTGCTCCTGCTGCCCTGGACTACAGGCGCCTCTCTCCAAGGTTGGACACCTGAAAAACACACCCTCTCTGCGTTTTCGGTGTATAATAGTGCTTTTTAATGACTTGCTGGTAGGGCTAAGCGGTCGGATGGTTTATTGGGTATTTGAGAATGCATGATGAGAATGCATTTGAGTTTTATTTCCAGTAAGGATATATAATACAGAACATGGCGCTGATGAAACTGACAGGGTCTGTTGTGGAAACAACATTTATGTCCTTTTATTCTGCAGTGCCATCTTTGCTCTTTGGCCAGCAGACAGTCAAGCTTTGCTAACAGGCAGCACGCGCTTTTCACGATGTGGCATCTATAGCTAGTACATTATTTACATGCATGACATTATTACATAACCATATTTGTTCAGAATGATGTCAATATCGAAATGATTGTGGAGTATTATTGAAATGGAGATCATATAAGAAAAAATACTGAAATAACATATTTTGTCGTTTAATGTATCCTATTATGCTTTATTGTAACTCAGACAACGCTGGGGAAAACACACACACACATAATTTCGACCAATAGTAGCCTACGAATGATTTAAAATATTAATGAATTTAAATGAGCGATTTTGTAATTTATATTTAGTAAATTATTTTTGAGGTCATTGCTGTACTAACAATACTACACTAGATTCCTTTAGATGACAAATGACTCAATTATATATTTTGAACCACATCCATGATAACCTGAACAGAGATGTATTATCTACTGTTATGATGAGCCTATATCATATGATTACATGTATGTTTACTTTCAGCATGACAGTGGCGTAACAAAAGTATTACTTTCATCAAAATTGATTTGACATATTGTAAATAAATTAAGAAGAACTGAAAATGATAAAGTATATTGAGCT